ACCCCTCCGGTTCCCCAACCCTTGCGGTTCCCCCCTCCCAAAAAAAAATCCCTGTGACCACCCCCATTCCTCTCCTCAAGCGATAAAAAACAGAGGTTTTTTTCCCGAGAGCCTCTCAGGGGAGTTCGCGTATGCTTATATCGGAAACCGCTGTCCATTTTTTTCCAGCACCTGGATCTGGAAAAAGAGCTATTAATCACAACCTCAGATCGATCTCTTAGTGAAACCTTTCAAACCCTGAATTCCGACTGTTGTCCAACGTCACAGCGCCTCGTTAAATTTCATTCCGTCACGCTATAATAAAGAGTGATTGCGTGATTAACTCGCTGCAAAATTGGAATAGTCCACCACGCGAAATGCAGAGTTACGATGATAAAGATAACAGACGAAATACCATATCCTGCCTGTTCCACGAGACCTTTTGCCATCTGGCTGATAAATCTTCCTACTCCTAATATAAGCAGATGGAATAGATGTAAAATAGCTGAAACTATCTTTTCAATAACTAAGGCTGCACCAAAACAAATCTCTGATATTATACGAGCTGCCAACGTGAGGATAATTCTTAACACTTCGCGAATCATACCAAACATCACCTGCAGTACGGTGTGTAACCCTTCTCCTATATAACGCACCAGAAGAAGGTAGAAATTGCAGATAAGCTGCACAATAAGGTGTCCAATGCGGAGGACCAATGGTATGAAAATGGAACGTACAAAGGAACTGGCAATTTCTTTCGCTCGTTTTGGGGCCATGTCACGCGAATCTTTTTTTCCATACACTCAGTCTTCTTTAAGTTAAAAGGAGTCACAAAATATCCCAGTTAACTTCCAAAGCCGATGTATGATCCCGTTGAGAGTGTTCTTCAGCTTGAAATCGCTTCGACGTTAAGAAGAGCGTTCGGTCCTGTCACTCCGGATATTTGAAAGCCACGCGAGTTCGACGATCGGAACTCTTCACGTTCTTTCGCTTTCGCCGTCGTAAATTTTATACAGGCACTCCAACCAAGTTTTTTTTTATCTAGGCCGTGTTAGTTTTGAGCCTTTGACGAGGGCTTCCCAATCGCAGAGGGTTTTTTTGACGACGATTGGTATGTTAACATGGCTACTGAGGTTATGCTAATTAAGCTGACTGTCATCTCAAATTACGCACGTCACGCAAACATATTTGAGACACTTGGATAATTTAACACACGTATCATAAATATGGACTTGAAATAAATAATCGGGAACAAAAACCTGGGTATTTGCACAAATTACTTATCCTCGCGTAGATAAGACTTTCGATGCATATTTTCCCAAAGAAAATTACTGTTCCTCAGAGTAAGATGGTGTGGTGAAGTTACGAAGAGGGAAGAATATAGTTTCCATACTGCTATAAAAAAGGTACTAACTGTAATTACCGGGGTACTTTTCTCGGTCGAAAAAGGTCAAGTAAATTTTTTTCCAAATAAAAAAATCGCTTTATTTTTTCACCCATCGATTTTAAATTTTTCTTATTTTTTTTAGGCCATTCCGTTCAAGAGTCTAGGAAATATTAATCGTTTCAGTCCAGTGGTTTTTTTTTTGAGACTGCCAGATAACAAACATTACATTTGCGGTTGACTTTACGGTTATTTGACACATCATCAATAAACATCTCGTCTAACCACGATTAATGATTGAAGAATGACTTAAAGATCCTTTTTTTAAAATAAGTAACAGCGAATACGGCTACCACAACTGAATACCCAACAATTGTAATTTTTTTTTGCAACTGGAGAACGAAAACACGACTGGCATAGTCTATTGTTTTTAGAATGTTACCAGTGAAAATGTTCCATAATTCTTTAACGCCGTTTAGAATCATTCCCAAAGAAGACACCGTTATTTCCTCAGCGAGTTTCAAAATTGTTCGAATGAAACATAGCCACGACTCTGTGAACAGGCGGACAGTTCCGAAGAATATAAAACCAACCACATCATTGAGGACACACACAATGGCAAGGAAGGACCCAACGAAGACTCTCACTCCAGAAAGAATTCCTTTGCACTTGCTGTTACTTTCCTTTACTTTGGTTTTGGTTGCACGTTTCATTTTTCCTTGTTTAGTGTTTCTTTCTAGCACATTTTTGAGATCCTTATCAAACAAGATGCGATGTTCAAAGGTCTTTCTCGCAGCTCAGTTGTAAGAACGTGTCGTCGCTTGCAATTTATTCCCAGGGCGATTTGACGTGGATTGTCGATAAACTCACGAAAGAATGCCCGGTTTTATCAGTGTCCAGTTAAACCACCGCGATAATGAAAGTGTGAAACTATGGTAAAAGCGAATTCCATTCGCAAAAGTGTCGAATATCGGGTACACGTTTGAGGACTTCATCGACGAAGTGGAAATAAACACGAAATTTATGTGCTGAGAGTAACGTCACGCAAAACTCAACTATGATATGACCATGTGACGGTGTCAAAGTCCACCGCCGCTAGTGTGACGATTCTATGAACGAATTCGAAACCCAAATATGCTAAAATAAATAAATGAATGAATATGTTCACAGATATTTTTTTAAATAACAAGACATAGATGGTTAGCAGTGAAAGTATGATACTTTGAAAAAAAGAGGACTCCTACGGTAGAGATGGAGAGAGAAAAGAGCAGGGACGAAGCTGGCTTGTGGCTGAGCCTGTTGAGGTCTCTCTACGTCAGTCGACGCGAAGGTGACTGAAGGGCCAATGATATTTGATTGGATTTGAACATAAAGTCATTTTACTAGCTAGGAGTGATATACTTGATGCACCGGGGTTTTTTTTTCACTCTCTATGTGGCGAGGGTGTCATGGCCCATTTGAGCTCGAGGAGGGACCGCAAAAGGGCTTTAAAATAGGTTTAAGTATGCCGCCGAATAATAAAACTAACGTGATCACAAGATACAGCGCTAAATTACTTTCCCTGAATGCTCTTGCACAACTGGAAGTCATGGAAGGAGCTCATTTTAAGCACGTGACTAGTTTTGCCATATGTGGTTGTTAGTTGCCAATGTAATCAATTTTTTTTTTATATATACTTTGTGTAAATGCTTTATTACCAAATATTATTATATCATTATTATTTTTTTTTTTATTATTATTATTATTATTATTATTATTACTATTATTATTATTAATAGGTAACTTTTTTTCGCACGGCGAATCCACTCATTGTACTAAAGACCTATCAGTTTAATTAATACATATTTTTTTAGCATTCTTACAATTCAAATAAACTATTTACAGCTAAAAATATAATTTTAAACAAAATGCGAATAAAGTTACCAAACTACTAATCTGACCAAAAACATATTAACACACTTCTGCATTTTTTTAATAACTGACTTATCTCTTTCATACACCTTTACCAAATAAGAACCTAATTCCTTTTTTTTTGTATTCCAAGAGTTGTATTTGTAGTTATTCACTTGTTAGGCGATGGCCTGATTTTTTTTTTGTTAGATAAATGAAGAGAAGTTGATGTGAGGTTTATAACAGATATAAAATTATTTTTTTTTTTTCTTCGGCAGTTGCTTTCGGGTCAAGAACTAAAATCCCATACTCGCACTCTCTTTTTTTAGCAAACACTGATAATCCTGGTGGAATCCACATGGATGCAGTTCACATTGTCCTTGTGTCCTCTAAGTGTTTGAATACATGAACCCCTGCACAAGAAATAGAAGCAATCAATATATTTTTTTCGATTGATTGAAAGATTTGTCTGTTAGTCCATCCGTCCCTCTGTCCTTTGGTCCGTCCGTCATTCTAAATGTCAATGATTCCGACAGTCCGATTACTTGAATAAGTCAATCAATCGATCATTCATTCAGTCAAACAATCAATCATTCAATGACATCAGCATTAACACGCAATTGATTAATAACCAGGGCCCCTCTGGATGACAACTATGTAGCTGAATGGGTCCCCCTGGCTAAATGTTTTTTTCTAACAATGTTACCTAACATATGTTTCATATGTTTGTTGTTGAATGCTACATTTTTTTTTTAAGCAATCTCGCGTGTAAAACTTGAAACGCCAGTTGAGTTAGTCTTGACTTCCATATTTGTAAAGTAATATCTTTATTAGTTTCTCTAAAAGATACACTAATTTTACTAATGAAATGAAATTTTTCAATACAAAATCTTGTCAAGGACGATTACAATGTTGGTACATCTTTTTAACGACCGTAGATTTTCTATTGGCATTACGTATTTAAAACTTACTGTTCAATGTCCCAGTACTTTATCAGACCGTCTTTACCAGCGCTGACTATGAGGCCCGCCTCTTTCTTCCCATTCACCATCATGAACTTCAATTTGATAGATTCAATCCTGAAAAATTATTACGAAATATGAGGACTGCTGATTTTTTTAGAAAAACAAAAAAAACAAAAAACAAAAAAAAAAATGTGTGGGTACTGAAACAATTTTTTTATAATGAGCCAAATCTACGGAAATTCGCAAAAATCCAAGCTTGAAACTGTGGAATGGATTTCTGTTTACTTGTACTGTCCAAGTGTTCTGCACGTTAAAACCATGTGAATGCATCTTTTTAATAGCTGTCGATAAAATATGCATGACTTACCTTCCTTTGTGTCCTTTGAACTCATTTACACAGGCACCCGTCTCAAGGTTCCATAACGACACTAGATGTCCCGACCCCACCGCTACATAACCCTAGAATACAAAATTAATGGCAGTTGAAATTAATTGTGGGCATTGTATCGAGTTAGGGGGGAAAAGTGGCCCAGCGACCCGGGATGAGCTTCGGCGAGGAGGGGGGAGGGTATTCATTTTTTTGAGTCTTTTTTATTCTTTTCTTTACGTGGACTTCCTTTGCGCCAATTAACATCAGTATTTCTCTAGTTCTCCTCTCTGTCGCTGCATAACTATTTAAGAATAATTGTTAGGGTATTCATCTTGACGCGAAAGGGAAAGGAATGAGGTACAAAGTGGCAATAATTATGATAAACTGCTAGATGCTCTGAACCAAATTCATTAATTCTTTTTTTGCTGCATTGTATTGGACAGATATTTTTCGAACAAGTAAGTGATGAAAAGTAGAAATCCCTTTCGATCCCACAAAGAGAGAACCAACTTTTTTTTCACAACTGCTTTATTTTTCAACAAATGTGCATCAGGTTTAAATCCGTCTCATGTTAGCGCTAACCTGATCAAAACTGACAGCAGTCACTGTAGAGCCAGACAGTTGTCCGATGTTGAAAGTCAAAAGACAAACTCCTGTGGACACCTCCCACACTCGTACAGTCTACAAAATAAATTTTTTTTACTATTGTATTCAACATTGGTTCGAGACTGTTGGCTACATCAACTACTTTTGGGAGCTACGTCATTGTTTGCCCCTTTTGGAAAACTTAGTCTAGACTCTAGAGGTAGTACGTATTTTTTTACTCCGTGTTTAACTTCACCATCCTTAACTCGTCTGAGTCTTACCTGGTCTCCTTTTTTTTCCGTTCTTTGTCTCGGGATCCCTGTGTCTCCCTCCCACAAATCGGAGGGAGACACAGGAATCCCGAGACAAAGAACGGCTGCGAGAGGAGACCAAGTCTTACCCTACCCTTGCTATTTTTTTTTTTCTCTGATTTCAGGGATTAATACTTTAGCTAGCGTCTACATGTAATCTCTCCTTGCAGTGCTGCTTCTGAACTTAACATTAAGAGAACTGAAATGATCGCAAACTAGAGATGTCGATCGCTGTACAAATGTTACTTGTCGGGAATATGGGAAATGCGTAGAGACAAAATTTCGTGACATAGAGCCTTCGAGTTGCGGTTTTAAATGCTACTCAGTAGACTAGCGTTGAGGGGGTCGTGAACAAGAAGCAGTCTCCGCCTACAGACGTGTAATTTTCTCAATATATCGCGAAAATAACTTGGTGAAAAATACGAATGCGGAGGAGATGGGATACACATGTTTGTTAACATTCTTGACATGAGTGTTTGCATTGGAAAAATTGAGTTTCGAAGGGACAAAGATAAGCAGTTACTGAGCGAGAGACATCTTACTCGGATCTTACCCTGTCTCCTGAGCCAGTGAACGCTTTTTTACATTCATCGTCCAGATCGACACAGAAAACGCAACCATTGTGACCAACCAACGAGAAAAGGAGTTTACTTTTTTTAATGTTCCAGACTTTGGCCTGAATGAGCAAAACGGCAACGCAAAAACTTAGCCAAACAGTTCTATTGATAAGTAACCGAACCTCATATTTCTAAGATTACTTAATTGAGTACTCTTTTTTTTCTGATATGACTTTAGAGTAAAGGATAGAGTAGTTTACTGCTAGGAAGGCTAAGGTTTTTTTAAACAGTTACGTAACGTTGTGCGCAGGTACTTAAAGTATGCACTGCCATTTTATTTTTTTTGTTATCAATTTTTTTTTTCAATTTTGTAACAAAAATCTCAAGGTGAAAACTAGATTTTTTTTTTTCTATCACCTACACGACCCATAAGTTCTGTATTGCAAAAACACTCCGTTAATTTTTTTAGAAACTGATCATTTACTGACCCGTTAAACTATTGAGAAACTGATCATTTACTGTTTTTTTTGTCGCTTGATCCACTGACAAGAAAATCCCCCTTACGTTCGATCGCCCAGACGGTTTTTTTATGACTTATCAATATTCTACAAAGAAAAGTACACAACATAATGATCCATAATATTTTTTTTAGCCCTTCTTTTACAAAGGATGTAGACTATAGCCCAATCTCTCTCAGTCGTATCTTTTTTTTAAGGCAACGGGTCTACAATAGCATGACAACACTGCTCGTCCTTTTTTCATTCGTTTTTTTCGTTAAGGAAAGAAAACGTTGCATTCTGAGCTCGACTTGTGAGTGAACCTGATGTCAAAGTTTCTTACCTTACACACATATTTGTTCGCAGGCTCCAAAGCTGAAAACGAAGCAATTTTTTTAACCATTAAATAGTCATACCCTTGTTATCTCATCAGTGACAGAAAGAAGGAACTTCATGTTACCAGTCCTTTACAAAAAAAAACGTAAGTATCGCATTTTCTATTTCTTTTGTTTTTTTTTTCAAATTAGTACAATTTCAATAGAGTGATGACAGAGTCTATTGTTTCGAGGACAGTTTTTTTTCTCTTTCCTTTCCCATTAACTCAAAGTACTCACCCGAATGGTTTTGTCGTATGTTTTTTTTATTAGAATTGAACTTGACAAGAACCGCAAACTCCAAATACCACGCTGTCAACGTTGAAGTAACAAATTAGCCACTTTCGATATATCAAGACATAAACAAAGGGTACTGAACAGGTTTTTTTTTCTAATCTATCGAGGGCAGCCTATTGGCTGTTTCTGTGCCATGCTTTGCAGGTAAACTAATAAAAGCCTTCTGGTCATAAGAACCATACGGTCTTTTATAAAAATGAGTCCGGCAAAGCACCAAAGTCAACAAAGATAGTGACAAAGTTATCCTTCCTCATTAATAACCAAAAAAAATCAGAAGGAACAACGACCATAGTAACGAAACAGTTGAAAAACAACAGACAGCAACAACGTTTTTTTATCCTTAATGTTTGCAACAAAGATGAAATTACTATTTTACCGTATGTCCTTGGAACGTCAGAAGCAATGCACCGTTTTTGGCATCCCAGATTCTGTAAGGTAAATAACAAAAATATTTTTTTCAAACCCAAAACAAAACATAAAAAGTTTTCTTAGTAACGCAAAACAAAACAATGTTACGAGTTAAAAGCTAAAGTTAATACACAAGCAAAACAAAAAGTGGGGATTCACTCACTTTATTGTTCTATCCAAACTGCCGGTCGCAACGTTGTTCTTGTGAGCACACACTGAAAGTACGCTGAAAAAGGAAAACCAATACTATGCGAATTTTATTGAATGTAGTAATAGTCAGCGTTGTTTTTCACTCTGTAATACCCATCTATGCACTGCAAGGAGGTAAAAACCTATGGAAGAAAACGGACACTTACTTATGGGTGTGGCCACTCATGTCGGTCACTTTGCAGCGACCATTTGCCCAGTTTCGCTTCAGTTTAAGATTATCTCTGAAGATGTCTTTCCATACAGCTGGAGTACTGAGTGGTACACCTGGAATGTGGAGAATGACGCTTTAAAAATCAACTAAATAAGAGATTTTTTAATCAACACATCAATGAACTCAGCTGAAAGCGAATTCGCACTCACCAACGTAAGTTTCTTGACATTTTGCTTTCCAGAGCTCATCTTTAGATGCAACACGACGCCAGGTTTTGCTCACCTTCAATTCAAAATGGATATATCGTTGAGTGGAAAACATAGAGTGGAAAAAAATCATCAATACTACGACTATTTTTTTTCTGTAATTAATTTAACAAGAGGGGCCCTCTATAACTTACACAATGTCTGCATTTTTTTTTGGCTTATTCACTCTTCTAAAAAAGTGATTGTAAAGAGATGATGAAAACGTTGACTTTTTTTCCATTACGAACAAAAACAACATAGAGAACAACAACAAGGATGCCAACTTAGCTCTTACCTGACAAACAACAAGAAGTTCCTTTGGAACAAGGAAAGAAAAAATGCGAATAGCTAATTTTTTTGGGAGCATGGCTATAAAATCTTGTAGTGAAGATGCTACATTTTAATTGTTAGACGAGAAGTCCCCATGGAGCTTTACTGTAAGTTTATATATATAAATTTTTTTTTTTATAAGCAAGACAGTTTTGTTGGGGCGACAGTTTTTTAAAAAGTAACGAAAATGAACTATGACGCATGTTTAACTTTGAAATTTTTTTAATTGATGAGACATTTTTGGTGTGTTTTTTGATCCGTTATTTTGAATGAAAAAAATAACGAAAACAAATAAAAGTTACCCTGGGGATAACAGCGCAATAGTGTTTGAGAGTTAATTAACGACAGTGTTTGCGACCTCGATGTTGAATTGTAACGTCCTACGGTGTAGTCACTCGTAAGGGTTGGTTTGTTCATCCATTAAAGTTGTACATGATTTGAGTTAAAAGCGTGGTGACACAGCTTGGTTTCTATCTACAATTAGAAAACAAAAATATGTTGTTTTTTCGTACGAAAGGATCAAAAATCAATAGTTCCCTTAATATAACTATTCTTTAAATTAGGATTGCTTCTAAAAATAAAAAGAAATATTTTTGTTTGTTGTTTTTATTAATGTATCTTTTAGTTTTATTTTTTCCTTTAATTGGAGCTGTTTTAACAGGTTGTTTTGGAAGAAAAATTGGAGAAAGAGGAGCGGGGATTTTAACTTCAAGTTGTTTAGTTTTTAGTTTGTCTTATTCTTTTTTAATCGCGATTGAAGTTTTATTTAATTCAACAACAACGTATTTGAAATTATGAAAATGATTTGATTCGGGATTGTTTGTTGTTTTTTTTGGTTTTCAATTTGATGATTTAGTAGTTATTATGTTATTTGTTGTTTTTATTGTTTCTACTTTGGTTCATATTTTTTCTATTGCTTATATGCGGGGGGATCCTCATATTCCTCGATTTATGACATATCTTTCTTTGTTTACTTTTTTAATGGTTTTGTTGGTAACTAGTGATAATTTTCTTCAATTATTTATTGGGTGAGAAGGGGTTGGCCTTTGTTCTTATTTATTAATTAATTTTTGATTAACTCGATTAGAGGCAAATAGAGCTGCTATTAAAGCAATGTTAGTGAATAGAATTGGTGATATTGGGTTGCTTTTAGCAATGTTTTTACTTTGGGATCTTTTTGGATCTCTAGATTTTTCTACAATTTTTAATTCTATTTTTTTTTCTAATCAAATATTTTTTATTTGTTTATTTTTATTTTTTGGGGTTATGGGAAAATCTGCTCAATTAGGATTACATACTTGATTACCGGATGCAATGGAAGGTTATTGGGCCTTTTAATTAAAAAATTAATTAAAAAAATTACTATACATTAAAAAAACAATTTATTAGGAGAGAGAGAGAGAGAGAGAGAGAGAGAGAGAGAGAGAGAGAGAGAAATAGACAATGGAACCTTGTTGGAGCCACATTTGACAAATTTAATCAAGTATAACGTCTGGCGTAAAAGACAGATTCTGTCTTCTGCAAACGAAAATGTACTTACAATTGCTGTATTGTGGAGCTAACACACCCACTATATAATTAAAGAAAGCGCTTCTTAAAGACACACTTTGTTGAACTGCTCACGTCGCGCACATAGCTAAATTGACTTACAGCGAGAAGTCCGGAAAGAAAGTAAAGTTCACTAGGCGCAAGAACCCTCAAGAACAGCTGAAGAAATTCATTCTTTTGCCAACCTATAGTAAAAGGGAGAGAAAATAAACAATCAGTGGTGTACACAGATGACTAACTACCCATAATGGCTCGAGAAAAGGAGAAGGCATACCGGCGTAGAGGGGAGAAAAAGAACGAACAGGGAAAGGAATGAGAGGAGGGGCGGGGGTGGGTACGTTGATTCCTTTCTTTCCGTTGTCTTTTATGCGTTCCCTGTCTCCACCATCTTTCCGTGTTTTACATCTACCTGACAGTTAATAAAACTGTCTAAAGTACAACAGAATGTAAAGTGTCCCTACCGTTCCACTGTTTCTCAAACCACTGAACAAGACACTGAGCATTCTCTGGCAATGAAACCAAATTCCACTATGAGTTTTGACACTGTTCAGTTTTGGTACGGTTCTGTGAAAGAACAAAATTAAAAACATAAATGTGAGAGAAAAACAGAGCAAATATCCGCTGACTGAATCGATATACACGTCTTTTCACTTGGAATTGATAGGCTACGCTAAGAATTTCAGTTGTCATGGCACTGCATATGGGACCCAACTTCATGTGAAGCGATTTACAACTGTAAGGTATTACGTCGTTTATGGAGTAGGGGAAGATAATTTGGTTTAATTCGGTAATTGTGGGTCGAAAGGACTTCTGAGTAAATTGTCACGCCTAGGAATATAGCAGAATGAAACTGGCAGCTTAAACCTTTGTCTCCATACGCACGCCTGTTGAACACGTGTCAACTTATTTGATCGCTTACTGCGCAGGCCGATAATGAGATCAACTTTTACTTACATGCAGCACATGCCTCCGGTGACCGAAAACAGATTTTCCCGTGCAAGACACATTGGGACAAGACTTCGACTTGTACAATCTTTGCCTGCGAAGGTTGAAAATAAAGTTATCAAGGTCCAACCGTTTACAGCGTATGTGATAATAACTGTAAATCGATAATAACTGTAAATCGTGCTTTTGAGTGCACTTTCATTTAATCATAGGGTAATAATGAAGTTTGCCCAGGCGTTGTATTTATAGCTACATATAAAGACAGATAAAGGAGGGGTTGAATTTCTTTCGTCAAAGACCGCAGACCGCTTGACTGAGGCTCAATCGATCTGACGTAAAGAGGTCAATTTAAAATCATTATAATAGAAATGTACCATTTTATCGCGTTTCAAAGCAGATAAAAATTCACTAACTCAATAATTAGAGAAGAAATACGAGATAAGAGAGCGATGCGCATGACAATTTCCGAGATTCCGAGTAAACTTATCTCTTCGGAAATGTTGACTCTTTTGACTTATATTGAAAAATAATTACGGCCATTAGTTGGTTTTGCTTGATCGTGATGTAAAAATCTTATTTCACCTACCATGACGTAACGTCATCAGCCTTTCCCCCATTATCCATCGCAGCATTGTCAAGTACATCCTTCTTGTATTCATTCTGCATGTGGCGTCGTACAGCATGTTGGGAAGAAGTTTTGGTGGTCCCACAGGGCGGTGCTGAACGACTTCCTGTAAATCTTTGTGGAGATCGCTTTCGACCACCAACATTTGAAATTCCAGGTAATTTTACTCCAAAATAGGTTGTTTTCGATTTCCAAGAGCCTCTGGAGTCTACTCTCTCCGGAGAACTGATTATCAGATAAATAAAATGCATATGGCCACTTTTTGGAAGGGAATATTTGAGAATGTTAACATTGGGGCCAATACTGTTGATGGACGTGATTCCTATTATTTATTATTGTTATCATTATTATTACTCAAGATCGATTATGTATTTTAGTTTTCCTATACCTAACACCTAGTATGCGCGCAAGAAGCGGTTGTTTTTTGAAGTGGGAAATTGAGTTTCCGAAGTTGTCTGAACTTTTTCTTGCAGTTCACAGAAGGATGAATGATTCCTAGGTTGACCTTTTCTTCATAAATCACCAAAGCTTTGCCTTTAATGTAAAGTCCTAAGTGCGACACTTTTTCTTGTTGGTTTTTTTTTTTTTTTTCTTGCGTGTTTGGAGTCCATTAAATTAAGTCTTTTCACTCTGTAACTATACTTATTGTTTCATTAGCGCTTTTCTTGTCATTTCGTTGCCGCCTTATGTCGCTCTGTGCCGCCTGCATAATTTATCATGTCATGTAACCGCTTCCTTTTTTTTCGCTAAGAGCGGTTTAGTATTGTTTCTGTAACCATGTAAGTATTTTATAGTCTTGTTGTTCGTTATTTCTTTAGGTTGTATATTGTGTAACTACGGTTTGTTACTTTCTTTAGTTTTAACCAACGTCAGTCATAGAGAATTAAAGAATATCATGTGTATAAAAATGCGGAGTTGTCAATTCCAGCCACAGATTCCGCATAAGTGCTGTTACATCTAGTGCCACTGTGCTAAAATTGCAATGTTCTGAACAGTTTTTCACGATGGTGAGCCCTTCGGTCGATTCAGGTTAAGAAACACCTATCGAGTGGTCGCAGGGGAAAGACATGAAATCAACTTTTCATCGAGAATGTTATTGTAAAATAGCAGGGGAAAATCAACGTTTCTTAACGGGGACATTTTTATTTCAAGTGTTCGAAGTATTTACTTACGGTGTTCTCTTTGTTTGTCGCGATGGTGACGCAAGCGAAGGACTCTTCACGATTGGCAAAACAGCAGTTGATGTCCAGGCCTTCACCTCTTCCTGTTGGGTTCAACAATGGCAACAACAACAGAAATGATGCATCAAACATGAAGCAAGAAGAAGAAGTAAGATATTTCATAAGACTCATTATATAGGTCATGGTGCTATCAAGCACGATGTAATTTATATCGGTGTAAATGTTCAGCTGTTTAATATGCAGATAACAAAGTGTTCATGATGGAGAGAAGAAAACAAACAACAAATAAATGGTACGGTTCACAACTGTGAAGTGATCACAAATCACTTGGATAAGTCCTTTACTGAATAGACAAAAACTGGTAAGCACTCTTGCCGCCATTTTTTCCAGACATTTCCCACAACACCTTCTAGAAAGAGACACTAGAGGGTACCGTACATGTACATGTTGCACATTGGCAGATAAAGGACACACGAGGTGGCCCGTTTGGTATTACCAAACAACAACAGCGAAAAAGAAAACAACTGGATGAAAGTTCCTAGAATTTTCGATTCTTTCTTGTTTAATTGAAAGACATCCGAGAGCTCAATTCCGGCTAAGAAATTAACCGTTCTTAACGTTAGTTTCTTGTTTCGTACACCTGTAAGTATATGAAAAGCCCCCCTCGGTTAAAGTTTGACGTGACCTTAATAAGCTTTTGTTACTCAGATATTTTCCTACTGCTTCTGACTGCATGTTTTTTAAAGTAAGGTACGCAAAGTTTCGCTAACCTCATCGTGAAGGATAGCACTCTCTACCCGGTGAAGCTTCCACGCCTAAAGTGAATGAAGAGGAAAGGTAAGAGTGAAGAACGAAAAAGAAGTGAATGTTGGAGATCCTCTTTAAAACTTTCACGTTGAGCCAGAAGAACTTGAAAACTATTTCAAGCTGAAATTTTAAGCAGAAATATTTAATCTTAAACCCCAGAATCTTAAAAAAAAAAAAAAAACAATTCCTAACTATAATTACTTGTTCAATACTCTTTAATTTTTCTTTAAGTAAAATTATGTCGTGAGGCGAGAGTGAGATGATTAAATTGCATTTATCAACAACTATCTTCAAAACTTTACTGTTAAAGTTGAACAGAATAATTATCTGACCAAATCTTTGTTTCAAAAAGAAAAAACAAGGAAGTTTGTGAATATCGATTTTGTTTGAATTGTTTTTGTTCTGTTTTGTTTGTTTGAAAAAAAAATTCCAATTTACCAAGTGGATAAAAAGTGGGAAGAGAACCAGGCCTTGGTTGAGGTTGGGAGGAATGTGGTATTTGGGAGTCCTGGCCCACTCTAAACACAACTCACATACATGTAGTGAAATAACCAATAATGATCTTAGAATATAAAGGTATTCACTAAAGGAATCAAATGGAGCTGGAAAAACCCACATACTCTGTATCTTGGTTTCCCAAGCTTTTTATGAACTTCTCTACACAGTGGTGTTGACACAGGGCTGAATGAACTTCTTGGAAATGCATTCAGTGAACTGTACATGAAGTCTCTGTGTAATGTTGGCTCAACCACCTTAATTAAAATGGAGAAAGAACTTTAATGAAACATTTTGGTTTTCCTAACTTGAATCAATTCTTCAACTGATAATGGAATGAAAATATTTCACATAATTTATAGTAACATTTGTCTTCTCAGTATTCAGTTTAGTGAACTGTACATGAAGTCAGTGAACTGTACATGAAGTCTCTGTGTAATGTTGGCTCAACCACCTTAATTAAAATGGAGAAAGAACTTTAATGAAACATTTTGGTTATCCTAACTTGAATCAGTTCTTCATCTGATAATGGAATGAAAATATTACACATAATTTATAGTAACATTTGTCTTTAAGTTATCAGTGTTCAGTTTTTTTTTCTTCAAAATATTCATTTTATTAATCTCTCAACCATTTCAAATGCTAAAAAAATATTCAATTATTCAAAATTTCAATTAACATCTTACTGTCCACAGAAACGTGATTTGTTCTTGATCACACCGTGGAAGAAGGAGATCAATCACACTGCGTCTCTGCAACAAATGTTAAGAAGGTAAATTCAGTTATAAGAATATTTTATCTCTATTTTTATTGTCAAACTTAGAAAATCACGAACAGGTCTGAAATCTGTCTGCAATGTTTGTGTTTTGCAAATTACATGAGATATCAGGAAATGTAAGTAAACCAGAAATCCAAAAATTTATCAGCATTATGCCATAAGAATTTTCATGCCAGATTACTCTATTTTCCTTGATTCAGTCACATTAGAGGTAGACATCTTGTGTTGACAGTTTTCGGAGTTTCACACAGAACTTATTTGTTAATTTTCAACAAACATCATAAGGCATTTCAATAAAGAGAGAATAGGAATACAGTTGTAAGAGATAAGGGTTTCCTTAGTTTATAATGTATTCAGGAGTATGGTAGCTATACCTGAAGTTTACAATTACAATGAGAATACTTTTTTTTGTTTCTTTTAACATTTTTCCTGGTAATAATAGCCATATTTATCTACCAATTTGGAACATGCTCTAATTTTACCACCTTAATAATTCTGCAGAAATTATGCATTTGTGTCACATCTTTTATTGACAATGCAAGTGATTAAAAACTTTTTCAAGTATTGTCCCAATATTCTGACTAAGTAATTATGGCACTAAACAGGTAGAGTGCGAGGTCTAATGCTTTCCTGAAATAAATGATAATGTTTTTGACCAATCATGGCACTTGCAGTATTTCAGTTTTTTTCATATTGTGTCCAAATAACTGAGTGTGTGATTACTGATTGGGTAAATTGTGCCATTTTCTGGAGGTTTATGAAATAGGTGGGCTTTTGTTACATAAATTTGGACCATTCAAAGGGAGAAGGTTCAGTAAAGGGGAAGGGGGTTCTATAGAAAAGGGTTGCAGTAGGTTTTCGATTACAATACACATATACATGTGCATGTATGACAAGAGAGAAAAGCTTTGTGTATTTGTAAAAAATATGTAAAAAATGATCTTACATATATCATAAAAAAGGTAACTTGTACAATTTGTTGTAAATTTTAAAAACAATAGAAGTTTAGAGAATTTTTCATGCTGCCTTTTGCAAAACACTACAAATAAGCTTAAGATAGAAGTTGTGGTGGGGTTCCACATACAGAAAAGAACTTATAACTACTATAATCATCTTGACCAACTGCAACATGATATCTTGAAATTTGTAAGTCAACATATAATATTCAACTTGATTCTGAGACAAATTGGTGTGAGGGATTTGTTACTTAAAAAATGTAATTTCCAAGAAGTTTTATGTGATCCATAGATGCAATGATTAATAATTTTCTTGCAAAAAAAAAGGATCTCAAAGTATCTAAATAGCTTGAGCCTCACTATATGTGTGCACCACTAAGCTTAAGAGAGGTGGAAATTGCAGTGAAAACACGCATGCAGTAGGATTCTCTTTTATAAGATTATATTCTAAGATATAAGAAAACCACAAAGGATGTTTCCAGAATTTTCAAAGAGGTCCTTTACAAAATTCTGGCACAATTAATCCTCTACAGCTGTACATTGCTCTTTTCTCTAAAATTGGATATTTTATAGAAAATATGATTATTTACTGTGTCATCTCTATTCTCTGACTGGTTCAGGATTCTTTTCTCAAGTGCCTTTTTAGAAAAAATGAGAGGTGCGTTAAACTAGTTTTTTTTTTCTTGGGCACAAAAAAACTATTCAGTTGGCATAAGCTGGTGTGAGATCAAAGTTTTTTTATCTCTTTTGTCTCTGTATAGAAGCCCATAACTTGCATGTATATTATTCTGGTTCTACATGAAGAATTACAATAACACCTATCATTCTGTGCATTCTGAACCATTGTCTCCCAGATTATCCTTATAATCTCTTTTTTAAAATTGTAAGGTAAGATGGAAAATTAATTAACATGGAATTTTTCAGTTCATGAATTTTGTCTTCAGGAAATGCAGTATCACAGCACAGAAACAGCATTCAATTAACGGAAAATAAACTTTACTCGGCACACTTGAAAATATCCTGAAACTGAGGAACGCGAGATAAATTTTAATTATAGAAAAGATAAACAATAAACAGTTTAGGAATTAGAAAGAGAACTCAAATGTCTTATACTTAAAATTATTTGTAACTGGTAGAAAAGTGCGCGACTATTTTCGTCAACACTATACAAGGCCGGGATATATAAAAAATGCGTTCTCGAGCTCAAACTAATTCCCGTTGGCACTATGCAAGTAACACTAATTTAACACCACATTATAAAGAATTAGTCCAACATGTCTAATTACCCTCCATTCTGCCAAAAAGAAAGGTTGCGATGACTCAGACCACAATGTAAATTGAGCAAAATTTTTATCTAATATTATGAAGCACTCTTCAGACGAGAAAAGCCGCTTAAACAGAAAGTATTAAAGCAAACGCAAAAGTGAATTACAGCATAATATTGAGTAAACAAAGACATCATTTTCCGTATATGCATTCAAAACTAATAAAACAGCGTAGTTCGAATACCATCGACAACTTTCAACTACACGTTAAATTTAGGATATCTCACCACTGGATCGCTCCACTTCTCCATCCACTGACACAGATAATCTAACTGCTGTTCATACTCTAGTGTACTGTGAGGCCTATGTTTGGCAAAACCGTTCAACATGACTGCTATAAGTGACTCCACGATAAGTACACTGTCGTCTCGTCTTCGATTTCGATGTCATGTTCCATTTCGTTACTTTCACTGACGCATCTTTCGGTAAAATTCATTTCTTAGGGACCAAATTGGCTAGCTAAGGCATTGTAGTACCCAAGTGTATCAAAGAATGCCAATTTTTGTAGGTCATCAGCCCGCTGCGAAAAGACTTACTGGTTGCCAACCGCATTTGTTGCTACCGTTATTCAAGGTCAGTGGTCCTCATAATTATGTTAATATATTCATAGACTATTTTAATTTCCGGTGGAAGTATCTTGGGTCCCTGCTACAGAGCTAGGACTCAAAGTTTCGCTCTTTCTCCAATTTTCCAAAGGTTTTTCGTTACCCAAGGATGGAAGTTTAATCAGGGCGGGTGTCTAGGTCATATACAGTCTAAAAAGAGGGAAAGGCTTTTAAGGATATCACTCAAAACCGGGAAAAGGGGTTTGGTCGGTGAATTAGCGACACGACTCTTTCACAACAAAAACAAATATAGTGAGCAACTTCTACAAAAGGCATTGGATTATTGCTACGGCAAAACCGAAGTATCATCAATACAAATGAAAATTTGAAACTGTACTTGCAAGGAGCTGTAAATTACTTCGACAATTGTCTTAAACTTAAAATACTTCGGTCTCTTGGACACTGAGTTGTGGTCTGAAAGAAGTCCTTGAGGGCAGGTGCTTGAAGGACTGCATTGTTTAATTGAATCCTAGAACTCAGCTTGGAGCCATGTTACATCCACTCTCGATGTAGCTGTTGTACCTGAATGTAAACCACTAGACAGGTAACATTAAACAATCAACAGCTAAAATTTGTTTTCTTTAGTTCACACATTCTCCAAGTGAAATTAACCTAGTTACTGGCCTCGTGTCAGTTTAGACTAACAGGTGTGCATAATCATACAATCATAACTGCGTCAGAACATAGTTAACTATGGTCAGAACTGAAAGGATCGGACGGAAGTTTAGCTTGTTCCATAGATTTGTTTATTGAACACAGCAGGTAGTAAGTGTGATACCGAGTGTCCTCTCATGCTGATATGACATAAATATTGTTTGAATGAAAACGAAGATATTCGATTTTGTCAGCGGGGTTTAACTCAGTAATTTTCAGCTCAACATAAGGGAGGATAGGTTGCTGTTCATCATTTTGTCAAATGCTCTGAAGTTCCTCAGAATGTCTTACAAGCTGAAGCTTGCTGCACGATGAACCACAGCTATTTTGCCGGTCTGTTGGAGAATTATCGCAAACGGCTGGGGATGGATCCAAGTGTTTTATCCATTCGAAAAGCGTTGTACGACAGCTATAAAAATGAATCTTTTAAACTGAGAGAGCGACAACGACAAGAAATGGCCATACAAAGGCGAGACCAAATGGAAACTAATCGAATTTTCCGAAACAGGTTGAAGGAAATCAAAGAGAAAGAAAAGGAAATTAGTAAACGTCATGCGCACCTGAGAAAATTCCCATCAGAAAACGAGGAACTTCGACGTACGGGGCCATATAAAGAGAAAGAAAATTCCCCGCAACGGCAGAGGCTGTTGATTTTACCATCGTTGAATGTTTCGGAAGTGGATTTAGAAAATGGAAATGATTTATATGAAAGTGAAAATAAATTAATTCGAGATGTAAGGCGGGTCAACAAGCCGCGTCATTCATCGGAAACGAAACTGTGCCGTCGATACAGCAACAGATGTAGAGTCTCCCCGCAGCAACAGAAAAGCAACGAGCCATTATCACTCCAGTCAAACAGTAAATATACTGAAAATCTAATCAACTATTATAAGAGTCCAAAAGGTTTAAAAAGCTTCGAGAAATCCTATTCATCAGCCCAGGTAGTTAACAAGAAGACCAACATATGTACTCTCACGTTGGGAGAACAATGTAGCTACAGAGGCAACAAGGGACCTTTTCGCATTTATTCACCGGATTACGACATTCTGGTTATAGAACATGAAGAGGATGGACCCTCCCACGAAGATTTCTAATGTAAAGAACTTAATGACATTGTTGCAACGACCTCCTATTTTAAGTGTTCTTCAAAAAATGCAGGGCTCAAAAACTAATTAAGATTCTGTTCAAAGTATCCAGTTGCTTTATCAGGGAATAGCTTTAAACTGAATTTACTGTTTCAGTAAACTTAGTTTTTCGTTTAATAATTTATTATTAGTGTCTTTGATAATGTTATGAAATATTTAAAAAATACACTTAAACCGAAAACATAAAAAACAAAATAAAAGGTAACTAGTAAAACTACTTATTAGGAGTCCGCATAGTCTCAATATCTGATTCCGTATTATGTCAGTAGTTTTATGCAATTCACATTCAATCGCGGTTTAGTTGCGTTTGAAACGCTTCTGCTAGTTTGCTTGTTCAGTTTTACTTTAAGTTCTCATCGGCTCTCTGTAATATTTTTCTTTCCTCTAATTGGCTGTTATGCCCAATACTCGCGTTTTGGTTTTCGACACTCTATCGAAATATGCTTCAAAGACGACGGAAAAAAAAGTAGAAGAAGGATACCTGTGGTGAACGAGCCTCGAACGAGTGCTTCCAACAAAAGGTCATGGGTCCATAGCCAGAGAGAGAAAGAAAACCTGTTTCTTCGTTTTTTGGCTTACTGGTCACTTCCTTGTGTCCCATTTAAGTTAGCCACATGCACGTCATGATAAAGAAAGAAAATCCAACAGAACCATGCTTTATTTCCTTTTAAAATGTATAAACTAATTGTAAACCGAGCCTTCACCAGCCTTACATGATGTGAAGCATTTTAGGCATAATTTCAAGATTTATTGTGTTAAAATTTATCTCTGCATTCGCTTACAAATAAGAGGGGAAATATGATTCAATTTTTTTTGGTAGCTGGGTCATAGTAATTAAAAAAATATTTCAAATAAAAAAGGCGAGGGAAGACGATTGGTAATGCAAAGATACACAATAACTCTATCCGTCTCAGAATGCTACTTTTTAATCTATCTGATTCTCTCGCTCCTATTTATGAAATGTCCTTCGATAGTCTGTTTCAGTCTAAGATATATGCCTATAAAATCATAAGATTTTTTTCCTAGATGCATCACAAAAGATGTTTAACAATTTATTTAAGTTGCCAGGCATTGCGCTGGTCTGTTCTCAGTTTTTGCTAGTAAACAAACCTGACAAGCCTCCAGGGACTTGAACAAAATAGTGTCAATTAACCATGTATTGACTTTGACCTAATTTGTAAGTCAAAGACCCAATCAGGCTGAAACCCACGGAGGCGGGACGTACACATGTGAACAGGTATTCATAATTATTTTTAGTTTGCTATGATAGAATATGAATTTTAACAAAATAGTAATACCATCCTATCAAAGATGCACTTGAATCTAGGAGCCCACTCTGGAGGTGGAAGCCGGATATTGCCTTGTCGATGATCGAGATCAGCTCGGCGTCTGTTGCTTTCTGCTTGGTGTTATTCCTGGTTTGTTTACTTCTTGTGGTGTTGTACTTCTGTGAATTTAGCCCGCGGGTTCGCGGAGAGATGATGGAAGATTCTTCCTCTGGTGCTTTTATTACCGTTGTAGAAGAACATTGTTACAAATCAAAGTTCATGACCAGGTGGCAAGTGCCCTGTCCTCTTCGTGAAGCAACCAGGAAAAATAACAACGACACGAACGTGGCAGTGATTAAAAACTGTGCAAAGAGGGGAGAATGTAGAACATGTTCCACAGACACAAATGGCGACAATGACTCAGAAATAAGTCAACCTGATAGAATATACACAAGAGGTCATGAGTTGACAACTTCATTTGAGGCTTGTAATAATTTGAGATGGACATAAACTTGTTTGTTCGTATTTCATCGGGATGATATTGGTAGGCCAGAGGAAAAGTCAGAACAGTACGCAATTGCAGCAGAGCCAAGCATCATCCCTGATGAAGAAGCTTCATAAGCGGCATATGTTTTAAGAAAGTGAGGTAATTTGGACAAACTGCTAATTATGACCTTTCTACGTACTCATCGTGCACCTGAGCGACTTTACATCGCTAGACTTATATTGGGCTTTCTTTGAAGCAAACAAACGAGACAAAACAATGTACATGTAGAAGGTGAATGTCTTCCGTAAAAGTTTAAACAAAAGGATATGTCGAGGAAAAAACCGATTATACTAAATCAAGAAAGGAGAAACTGTTCATGGTCTCTTGGATAAATATTAGGTGCCGTTTTGTTATGGAACAAGTTACCAGGCCACTGACAAAGTTCGCCATCGTTAGTGAATTTTTCAACGCGTGGTTCTGCTTTACAATTTTGACTATGTGCGTGTAAATGAATTCTTCTTTCCTTTTTTTAATCCATCTGGCGGAATAGAGTCCAATATGTTATTAAAACAGCGAAGCGCTTCTATTATAACAACAAAGTGGAAGGTCTGGCTGAAACTAACCCCAAGAAATGGTGGAAAGACATCAAATCTCTGACGGGGTAGGTAAACAGGAATGATACCATCAATTCCTAAGTGACGTCATCATTAGTCCTGCAGAACTAGCTACTCAAATTAACGATTTCTTCACTAGTATAACCCAAGAGTTCGAACCTTTGATGCCAATCCAAACTCCGCCCAACGTAATTCCACCAGAGTTGCTTGTTTGCTTGGAGGGAGTTTCATCTGACTTGCGCAAATTGTCTATACATAAAGCGGTGGAACCGGATGGAATATCGAACAAATTGTGGAAGCAATTTGCACCCGAATTAGCACCATTGATTCAAGATATTTACAATCAATCACTGAGAGAAGGTTTCGTACCTGACACTTGAAAACAGTCAATTATCTCACCAGTCCCTAAAGTTTGCCCTCCTCAAAACATTAACTCAGACTTGAGACCAATTGCACTAACAAGCTGTTTAGCAAAAGTGCTAGAGGGTTTTACAAACAAAAGACTGTTAGATCAGGTGTTTGACTCTATTGACCCACGTCAATATGCACGCCATGGACACTCTACAGTGCACGCATTAATTTATTTAATGTAAGCTATACACGAAGCTATTGATTCAGGTAACTGCTCTGTTCGGATATTTTTTGCTGATTTTACTAAAGGTTTTGATATCATAGACCATTCAATATTGCTAGGTGAACTCAGATTGTTCAACATCGATCAAACTCTGTTTTTCTTGGATACGTTCCTTTCTTACCAACCGAATACAGGCAGTACGTGTTGGCTCCTCCCTGTCACCATGGAAACAAGTCAATGGTGGCGTGGGAACAAAACTCGGATTATTAATGCTCTTTACTGTTATGATAAACAAGCTCCGCCGTAATTGGCATATGCGTACGAAGTATGTTGGTGACACTACTGCATTTGAGATTATTCCAAGAAACTCCGTTAGTATACTAGATGTAGTTGTCAGAGAAATCCATGATTATTGCATAGAACACAGGATGAAATTAAATCCCAAAAAATGTAAAGAAATGTACGTAAATTTCATGAAGAATTCGATTACTGCAATGCGACCTATAACTATTGGAAATCAAGAAGTGGAGCGAGTAGGAACTTCTAAGCTTTTAGGAGTTATAATTAGAGATGACCTTAAATGGAATACTCACGTTGAATATGTAACTGCCAAGGCAGCTAAAAAATTATACGCTCTAAGGTTGTTGAAACGAGCAGGAGTTACGCCAGAAGACTTAGGGTATACACTTGTAATATTAGATCGGTCCTAGAGTATGCTGCGGAAGTGTGGCAAGACATTCCCGCATACCTCTGATGCTATTGAACCCATACAAAAAAGAGCCTTAAAAATTTTATTCCCAAATTTCAGTTATCAACAAGCCCTAGACCAGGCAAAATTGACATTGTTGAATATGGTAATACCTTGGCTTCACAATTACAGGAACTAATGGACCATCATCCCCCTGCAATCTTCAAATTCAAACAATTCCTGGTGGCCTTCAAAGTGAACTCGTCAGCATCAAAGGGAAGATGAAACCGTATCATTTCAGCAATGCACAAGATCCTCGTGATGTGGGTAAAAAGGTCGGAAAAAATATCTGAGCGAAAACGAAATTTGCGAGATTTTCTTAATTGTAAAAAAATCTTAAATTCACGGCGCGAACGTGGAGAAACAAACGTTGTCGAACCACTTTCGAGGCGAGCTTTTCAAAGCATATTGATTGTTCCATAAAGTAGTAACAATTATGATAAGTAAAGTACTAAATATGATATAATGTAATAGGAAACGTACTTTTTTTCAAGCTCGGCTCTCGAAAAGAAGAAAAGCTTAATTAGCAAAAAAATAAACACATGCAAATCAAGTGGACATATGCATGGCAATTAAAATACAAAACACCTAATACAATATTCAAAAGAACAGTTGATAAACAAGATACTAGATGATTTGAAATTCTAATCTAGCTACGTTTTTAATTGTTTAGTTGTATATCGTTCTGTCTTTTTCCTTTTGTATTCAACCTTAGAAATTAATGTGTTAATTGCTTATTGTACTATTGTGGGCGGTTTGCACAACACCTATGGCTTGATCTGCTATATACTATTATTAAGGTACTGTAAGTAATTTATGTAACATATTGAAAGGAGTGTAATATGTCGTTACGTAATGTAAATGTAGAGTATCGTGTAGATAGTGGAAGTAATTGATAGTAAGTCATCTGCTGTAATCAAGTTTATTGTAAACTATACTTTGTTTGTGGTGTGTTCTCAGTAAACTATTGTAAGCAACGTACTGTAACTGGGTCCTGTAGTGTATTGTAAGGAGAGTAATGTTTTGGTAAAATGCCAAAAAAATTTAAAAAAAAAAAAAGATACTAGATGATTATGAGCATACTTTCGAGCTTAGGTAGTCTCTTGTAACATGATCAAAACTAAACCCCAAACGTATAGTTTCAAAAAATGCGGTTAATGTACTGACTAATTGGACATGCTTGTCACATGATGAAGCAAATATCTTACCAACCAAGCAATATGCAAACAAACAAAAATAATAGAAAGTCAATAATTCATGGAAGCATCAGTCAACTGATCAACTTTCTGATCCTTAACTGCAAAGGTGGATCTGGCCTAGTTGTCAATCGAATGATTGGCGTCACGGTGAATCCTGGAATTTCTTCAAATGTAAAGTGTCGTAGTAAAGTACATAACACAGCTTTCATCTCTACCATAGCAAACTTACTCCCTATGCACGAGCGAGGACCAGCGGTGAATGGCAAGAATGCATATGGATGGTGTGACTGATAGTTTTCATCTGCAAAGAAACACAATACTAATCAGTGCAATTCTACAACATCCCTTCTTTCAGATATATATAGCCTGTGCTAATTTGCTATCTTTGTATGAATTAAGTCCTCAAATCATCTACCATTGGCTTTGCAAAAAAAAAAAAAAAACCGAAATTATCCTATGTGAATGACCAATTTTACTCTAAAGGGTACTGCTGTAAGTTGTTAGCTAATTCTTGGGTTACAAACTTGCCTCCTTGGAGAATATAGAGCCTTGTGCCTGACAGGAAGGGGGGAAAGGGAAGGGGGTGCCTTGGAATGTTCAGTCTAACCTCATAAACTGAGATATTAGTAACATTAAAAGGAAAAAAAACAGTTAATAATAATCTTGGTAACTGGTAATTAACATGGTCGTTGGTAGAGTTGACTAGCTTTGCAGGAATACATCACTTACAAAGGTTTTGATGTTGCTAAGCAATATTTTAATTTAAAATACTTTATATATATATATATATATATACATATAAAGTGTGACTTGATTTTCGTAGAACAGGGCTCAATACATAGAAGTAGAGCGAAGTATATATTGTGGGAGGAAAAAGACAAGTAAACTACAAGTTCATCCCTACAAGCCCGTTTCGTGGTCGCCCCCTTTTCAGGGGATTACTACTTGTATGTATTGAGCACTGTTCTACGGAAATCAAGTCACACTTTATATATATATATATATATATATATATATATATATTGTGTAACAAGCAAAAGTACAATTCAGTATGGTAGTGTATTAAAAGATGTTCTAATGTACAGATTTGGTCTCAGAGTGATGTGAACCGCATTACTAAAGGACTTGAAATTAAAAGTTCTGGGTAGGTGTGATAAAGATGGAGGCCTATCTTTCAATTCTTGGCTCACATTCAGTCTGCCTCAAGAACCATAACATAACTCTCCTCATAATTCCTCTGCTTATATTTCCTGTTATGCAGGAGCAGTCATGAAAGAAAAGCAAACGAGCAAATAAAAAAAGAGAGAAATTTATGCCTCAATCTTACCGTTTTCATCAAACCTCTGTGGGTTAAAACCATGAGGATCTCTCCAATACTTTGGTGAATGGTGTACAGCATCAATACCAAGAGCTACATTGGCTCCTTTGGGAATTTCATACCCACCAATCACATCACATTTATTAGCAACACGTACTGCTGCAGAAGCTGGAGGATGAATCCGGAGAGATTCCTTAATGACATTACCAAGAAACTTCATCTCTGCCAGTTTTGCCCAAGTCATTTCTGATGATTCCTGCATAACTAGTTTAATTTCGTTGCGGATCTTTTCAGCAATGTCTGGATGTCTGGCAAGTTCATACAAAGTCCACACCATGGATACACTAGTTGTTTCATGACCAGCTAACATGAAAGTGAATACCTGAGCTCGGAGAAGCTCATCATCCATGCCAGAGCCAGTGTCTTCATCATACTGATCCATTAAGAGATCTAGCAAGTCTGGTTTACAAGACACCTTTCCTCCTTCTTTCTTCTCTTTACGCCTTGTCTTAATTATCTGTTAGGGGCAAAGGAAATGCAGACTACATCTCAGGCCATATCAGCAACTTTTAAGTTTTGGTCAAAAGAACATACAGCCAATTAAACAAATATGGTGAGGAGGTGGTTGAACAACTTCAGACATAACTGAAACAGAAATGTCTGAGGCACAGCTGAGGTGCAAAATAGATAACCCATTGGCTAAAAAAGGTATTCCTTTACAAAGGGTGGGAAGGGGGGAGCCTATAGTTACATTCCTTAATTAAGAGAAACTGGTCCTACTTGAATTCCTAAGAATGAGATGTAAAGTAACATGGTCAAGTGAAACTTATGAATCAGTAAAATACTGGCCAGGGGCCATGACACAATTTAGTGATCAGCTTCATAAATCCAACAAAAGAAGTGGTGACTGAAGTTGTGACACATTTGAAATCTGACTGGTACACTAATGTTCAAATTGCTGCAACTGAATAAGACACATAAGGTTGCTCAAAAACTAACCAATGGACAGTTACCAAATCAAATTAAAACAATGAATTTACTAGGTGTTGAACTAGGTAATTCAAAAATGAAGACAAGGTTACAATTTAATATGAATTATGTAAGCTTTCTTTTCAGTTCTGTTTAAATAGTGTTGTTTCACAATCCTCAATTGTTTAAAATTATCACTAAAAGCATAACTAGTACTAAATATAATAATTATAATTATTATCAATTGCAGTTATCTTGCATTAGGTATTTGCCATTGGTTGAGGCTTCTGACACTCATTCATCTTGATTAACATTATACATGTGTCCAAGTTTCCCATGTTTTATTTGTCAGTACATGGTAGTCATAAACTTAGATATGTACAATTTATGACTCAGTAGATTATTTTGATTCTCAAAGAGTGCCTGCATATGTCTTTCAAGTTTAAAGGTAATAAATTCAGCCACACCTTACCTCTAGAACAGTTTCATCTGTCAGTTCCAGACATTTTCTTGCCCTTACATTGTCAGAAAATGGAAGATATTTGTAAAATGGAATAAGATTCTGTCTCATCACTCGGGCAAAATTGATTCCTAAAACAACTTCAGAGAATGCAGTCGAGACTTCACTTTCCCCTGACAGCACTGTGTCAAAATTATACCCAAAGGCGCATCTCCCGATGATATCCAATGTAAGATGACTCAAATCTGTAGAGATGGAAGCCTCGGAGACTCCTTTATTTGAGCTGTTTACCTGTTCTGTCCAAAGCTGCAAAAAAGCATTCAAGACCTTTCATCACATCTCTAAAGAATATTCACACTAGAAGGAAGTTCTAGGATATGCAACAGCCATTTCAGCAACATTTTTACTGTGATAGGGATTAGTACTAATTGATCACCATTTAAAACAATAGAGTGTTTCTGTCGAGGAACTATCAGACCGATAGTTCTGAGACATAAACACTCTATTGTTTTTATTGTTCACCACTAAATTTTCTTCTGCGCCTACAGCTTGTCACAAATGTCAATAATTCGCAACCGTACATTGGCTAAATAATACGTTATACCTGTCAGAATTGAAAAGTCACTGTTTTTCCGATCTGCCTAACTTCACGGCCATCAAACAAGAGCTGCTTGGAAGACAAATGCTGAGTCTTCTGGAAACAAGGTTTGATTATCAAACTAACCTCAAGCCAATGAGATGGTGATATATCACCAGATACAATGCCAAGGGTTTGATATAAAGGTGGTGTCTTATTAAGCAGGGACATACCACACTTATCCTCGGAACCCAGCAGAAGCTGGGTACTCCTTACAATTCAGTCTCAGATGGGGGTACTTCCCAAGTTTCCCCAAATCCAGACCCCAGTTTAAAAATCAATAAAATTAATGTGATTTCCCTTGTCCCTTTTTCAGAACTAGCCTTTAAAGTCCAAACCTGTTCTCAGACAAAGGCCCCATTTCTCAAAAGTCATGGTAACTTGACAGGCCTGTAAAGCTGTTATCGATGGATCTTTTCATTCAAGATGTTAAGTTCAACATGTAAAATTCAGATTCACCTGTACTAAATCCTGAGCAACATCCTTAAAATGTTCAACCATTCCAATTAAGTTGTTAAAATGAAATGCTGGGGTGATCAATTTCCGTTGAAATGCATGATCCTTCCCATTGGAGGAAAATAAACCATTGCCAATGCTGGGTATAATTTGTTGCACAAACTCTGAGCGTCTGTAGTTCATTGCATTTGTCACCAAGACATATTTGATCAGCTCAGGATCTGACAAGAGGATTCTGGAGTTCCCTAGAAGAAATGATTTAATTAAAAGGTGTACATGATGTAAACATAAAAAAATTTCAACAACCCAAGAATGTATTAGTTCATGAATACTTTCAGATGGCCACTTAACACAACTGGTGGAAGGGATGTTACTTAAATTTGTAGAGTTTTCTTGATCACTGCTTGATATCCTGGAGGTAATCTTTATTTATAAATTTACTTTTTTCAATAAACAGGAAATTTTAAATGGGTTTATAGATTTTTTTTTTATTTGCCAATCCTCCTGAATTGAGAGGGAAGTTAATGAATACAGAGATCTTTCAGGCTTCCTTTACGGAAACGAACTTTTGGAGGATAAAATCGATTTAAATCAAATTGTAGTTAGTTTCTCCCTTATTTACCACAATATACACCAGCAATGAGTAATGGTCTGATTATATGAACTTTAAACAAACTTAGGTCTTAAGACAGAGCCAAAGGGAGAGGTAAGGTCAACTAAAAAGTGCCATTGAAATTTTTCACTCCTTGGGTCAAGTGTACTAAAATGTAAGAGTGCACAAATAATTGATTGCTGAGGCTACTGATGAACCTGTACTGTGAGAAAGAGTTTGTTGTTGGTAATGACGTGTTTAGATCAACGATTATCTCTCGATCGTGATTAAGTTGTAAAAAATTAATGCCTCTATATCATTTTGCAGTTAGGTCGATCATCGGTTCAGTTCTTGATTTTTAGTCGAACGGGTTCAATGATGTTACGATCTCTTAAAAACAGGGAGTTAGAAGAAAAAGGTACCAGGTGGGTCAAATTAGTTCGATCGATAAATTTGAAAGTGGGGGCTGAAGCAAATATAATACAAATCCTTCAAGTTTGAAATCTCCAAAGGTCACTCGTGCAGGCGATCCCAAATCACTCAGAAATGATTTGGCCAAAATATACAAGCTAGCGGCTCGACATGTTCTAATGAAGGTGAGAAAAGTGACAACTTGTCAAAATTCGGTGATCTCAACACATCAAGACAGTGTTCACCAGCCTGAGGGTATATTGTGGTGCTCAAGAAAAGGGCCTTGTTGATCCCTTTATAATAATTGTAATAGGATGCAGTGGATAATTCTAAAAAACTTTCAAGCAAGGTACCTACCAAAACCTCGACTATAACGGATAATTGGTCCGTATTTTTCACTCCAATCCTGCAGCAATTTCGTATGGTTTTCCTGCCGTAAAAATGTCAACGCATGACCAAATACCGGAAAAGATCCGCCAGGTTTGGGAATTTTTCCGAAAGAAGTAAACTCGTCTTTAAACAACTTGTACACGAGCCATGCCACAAAAACAACGCCAATTAAAGACGATATCATTATACTAGTCCACACTGAAAATCGAGAAACTATAGTTCAAAATTTGATAAAATTGCGGTGTCATGATGATTTACGCAAGCGCTATTATAACGTATCTTGCACCAATCAGGTACTGTTGCAGAAAATTTGGGGACGGTACAAAACGTGAACCCCCCTTCTGGACCCCTTTTTGGACCCCCCCCCCCCTAACTAGATTAAGAAAGGGTGACAACAATAAACACCTGGTGCCATTTTAGTTTACCGTAATTAAAAGCTGCGGCAAATACGACACATCAGTAATCAGTGGATACAGAATACTTCATGGTTGGCAAACGCGAGCTATTTTTATTCACAAGTTGTTTCATCATAGGTGTTCAGAGATATTAAAAGATAACTTAAAACGTGAACTCATCTTAATCACATTCAAATGACCATAGAGGAGGAAGAAGTGGAGAGCTCGTACCACGTGCCTTAAGTTACACAGTCGTCCAGTCAATGCTGTTGGAGGATCTCAACGGGGTCAAACGTTCGGTTGTCAAACGGCCTATACAAAGGACAAATTTTTATTCTTAACCGTCAACACAGCAGCTCAATTTTAACTGTCAAACGGAACTTACTTTATGTACGAACCGTCTCTGAATCTCGACTGAGGAATCTTACAGGACTGGGAAACCAGTCTCTAATTTTCCAAATATACTCATTTTATAGCCACCTGCACCAATTTCCCCCCTCCCCCCCCCCTTAAAAAAACAGACAAACAAAACGGACAATTTGATAATAGCAAAAGGTTTACTTCAGTAGTAAATTTAGCCTTATATTTAATGTATTTTTCAATCGAAAAATTTTGTTGTTATCTCACGAAAGCCGAGCGATGCAAACCCTGAAGTGAGATAAAGTTTGTCAAAGCCGGCACCACCCATATTGTTTTTATACAAACACGGGTTGTTTTTTTTTGCTGAGAGTTTCCAATCACTAATTAGGACCATACACACTACATCCTCTTCAACCCTGCTTTTATTCTGCACCGCATTGTTTTTGATAGCAGTGGACTTCGACCTTCGCCTTATTAGGAGTTGTTACCTCTCCTGCAGCAGACGCTGCGATTGAGTAATCCCACTCTTACGAGACATTGATAGACGGGAAAAATGGATTCCTTTGCCTGGCACGAGGGTACACACTAACTACTGCTTTCAGTTTTCTCCTCTGCCTCTAATCGGGGATTAGGGTAATAGCCCAATTCCGAATTGCCTCTTTTTCAAAGCGAGTCCAGGTGCTCATCCTTTCATATGATAAAAAGTCTTTATTCACTTGTAAATTAAACTCATTTTCACAAGAATGGTTGAGCACCAGGCCTCGTTTTGAAAAAGAGGTCAAAGGTAATTCGGAAATGGCCTACGCCCTCCCCAAACAGGCCAATCTCTAATGCAATTTCCTTCCCACAAGAGCTCCGATTTAGCTGCCTATCTCCTGGTATTTGGGTCGATGCTTTTCTGCTGATGTCTCCTTGAACATATGTTTTTTTAGCATTAACCGTTATAAGCTCCTGAGACTTTGATCATGCAATATTCGATGAAGGCAAACCTTGCGTTAACTATCATGTATAGAAGTCGAGATGCAAGTAATTTACTTGTCCTCGTATTAATCCACTTGTATAGTTCAATTCTTAACGACAAGGCAGATCCGTGTTTTTATTCCATTGTGTTTTATTACAACAAACCTACTGTTAGGCTACCCCCTTTTCTCACTGTCTGTCAGAGAACAGATGGCGACAAGAGTCGATAAGAGCGATAAAGCGCTAGTAGATAAAAAGCTATGTGTTATTCAGTACAGTACAGTCGAAACAACAAATAACAGTTAACAGGGGCAGCGCAGAGGGAGGGGCAAGGGGGCCTATAGCCCCTCCCATACTATTTTGAAAGAAACTCGTTGTGCTGAGCCTGCCCATTTTCCCCTGCTTTGTTGGCTCACTTTAGTCCCCCCTCCCCCTGACTGTCATAACACTGACTCTGACTGAAGTTATTAGAGTCAATATAATATGGAAAGCATTGCGATGTAATGCTTAGTCACGCAACCGTTATGTTTAATGACCCCAAAGACACTTTGCTTTAGAGAATGAAGGATTTGAGTGCAACTCAAATCGCATAGCCACTCATCCTGACCCGGATTACCGCGGGAGTACAACGAACGAAAAAGGATTGTGTTCTCAGTTCTTAATTACTCCAAAAAGTCATTACAACATTTGGAAGTAATAATCAAGTCACGCAAGCACCGCATAATGCATGACGTCTACAAGAGTAGCTCCATTATCATGTAAGACTGATGGTATCACAAATGAAACTTCATAAATAATAATTTACAGCTTAATTCTGATGGATAACAAACTCATAGCTCCTGTTCCTCTCAAAATACATAACTATATATTAAAAAAATATATGGATGATGAAAAAGGATAACGCCTAAAGTTTATGTCAGGCCAGCTGACCCCACCCCTGATCAATATCAACAACAAACAAAACTACACCAATTGTGCAACTTATTAGTTTCACAAGCTCATGACACTGCAAACTAATACCAACATCGAAGTAAAGCGCACGCAATCACTTAAATATGGAGTTTTCACTTAATGTTGGCTCTATTTTGCTGTTGCCATTCGCAGCATTGATATTATGGCTTACATATAAATTCGTGGAAGAGAAGTTGTCTCCGCTACAGAAGATTCCAAGCCCTCCAGGCAGGTGGCCATTGATCGGCCATGTTTTAACTTTCCTCCAATCTAATCAACTGGAAGTGCTACGCTCTTGGAGTGAAAAACATGGACCGATGTTCGTCGTTCATCTAGGTTATGGAGTTGGGAAAGGTGCGTAATTTGAAATACAAGAGGCAGCAGTAATGTGATACATTACCAAACTTCTGTGGTCATGTTTTAGCGTGAATAGATAATTTAATCATGCATACCCGAATCACGCATTGTTCAAAATGACATTTAAGACTTAATTTCCCTACGCCCTGGTCGAAATGCGCCCTATAATGTATCATCATTGAATGTGTGGTCACCTCCAGGGTCACTCAGATATGGCCTGAATACTTCCATCACTGAACTCAGTAATGGCAACGCAGAGTGAGTTCACTGTCAAGGGGTTAAAAGTCATGGGAAGATATGGCTTCATGAGAGATTAAAATAACAGAAAAACCAACCAATCTTACATACATAACTTTATTCGATAAAGCAGGTTCAAAATGTATGCAACTTTACAGCTGATGTGGACCTGCCTAAAGTAATTAGTCTATAATTATTTAAAATACAAATATGATACAATTTATAACTTGAATAAATTAAGTAAACCATAAAATTTTAGTAATAGTGAAAATTTGGTTTCATGTTTTATACAACATTACCTCCCTTTTCAAAATTAATATTCATGACAGTTTGCTAGGATTGTTTTAAGTCATATTTAAAAATAGATAAATTTGGAGAATCTTTAAGATTATCTGGTAGCGCATTCCATGCTACTGCAGCTCTTAGATCTGCATGTGTAAAGGACCTATGACCCAGTTCGGTTTTGGGCCTATCACAAGTACAACATTCAGGGATTTCCTTAGGTTATAGCTGTTAGAGTTCTTGGTCACCAAACAATTAATTTCCCGCAGCCCTAAATTATAATAAGCATTATATGTAATAGTTAAGATATGGAGCTTATAAAAATACGCTAAAGGCATCCAACCAACCTTAGAAAGTACATCACTATCCTTAAAACTATTTGGTAACTTATGAATCAGCCTAGCAGCCCTGATGTGAATCATTTCTAGATCTTTAAGCTTGGGTCCAGACCCACAATTCACAATTCCATACAGAACACTTGGAATAACTATCCTATAGTAAAAAGTCTCCAAGATAGATGTAGATAGGAAATTTATGGCATTAAATGCAGATCTAGCCAATGCAACATGCTGAGACCAAGACGGAGTTTACCATCAATTGTAACCCCAAGGAAATTGGTGGAGGACACATACCAAATGGTGTCCGCACCCCGCTTCAGCTGTTTCAAAGGACCTATGAAGGGGGTGGTACTTAAGACCATTGCCTCGGATTTACCTTCATGTAGAATCAGTCTGTTACTAAGACACCAGGAATTAACCTGGTCCAAACAGCCTGTAACACTGTTGTTATGTCATCAACAGTATTCCCTACTACATATATTGTGGTGTTGTCAGCATGCATATAGACTTCTCCACTGGTAATAGATTCAGGGAGGTCATTAACATAAGATGCAAACAGTCTTGGTCCCAGTAAGGATCCCTGAGGGACCCCAGCTCTAATGGGGATTCTATCAGATCTAGACCCACTTACACTAGTCCCTTGCACACGGTTGGAGAGATAGTCATTGATCCATTTCCACATATCACCTACCAAGCCAGCAGTCTTGAGTTTCTCAGTAACAATACTGTGGTCGACACAATCAAAAGCTTTGCGGAAATCAATGAATAAGACTCCAACCTTATGGCCTCTATCCAGGGCACTCCCCCAGTACTCAGTGAGATGAAGGAGGAGGCTCTCCGTTGAGTAGCCCTTCCTAAATCCCCATTGTCTATCTGTAAGAATATACCATTGGATATCATATGATTATCAAATGAATTACATACTACTTAGCAGTTACATCATTACTTAGCAGTTACTCAACATGGTGGTGACATTGCAATCTGTATCAGAAATGATGTAACATCATGAGAAAAAATGTTAAGAAGATTGAATTTAATTCTTGTTATTTGACTATACTGTAGATGGCTATTTACTACATATACCTGATCCTGAGCTCATCAAGTTCGTGGCTAGCAATAGCCATAAATTTTACAGACCTGACTTTGTCGCAAGAAATATTCCAAGTATAAGCACTGGCTTGTTTGCATCCAATGGCAAGGCACATGCTCGACAAAAAAGAATGATTGGTCCTGCATTTACTTCCAAGTACTTGAAAGGATTTTTGGGAATCTTCATAGAAAATGTTGATAACCTTGTTAAGGTGAGTGATTAAGCATAATTTTTTTTTCAACAAGCTAATATACTTTAAATTATGATTGTTAATAACGTATGTTTTTAGATTCTTTAGACAAACATGTACATGGTATATAGAGGGGGGCTTTGGGATTTTCGGTTTTGTGGTTTTGACTGTTTTTTGAATCGGTTTTTCGGCCAAAAAGGTTTGGTTTTTCGGTTTTGATGGTCAGAGCAGTTTGCGGATTTTACGTGTTTTTGCATTTGGTTTTCAGTTTTCATGAAAACTCTGACGCGGTTTTCGGTTTCTCCTTTTCGACCCCTTTAAAGGTGAAAATGTAGCGGTTTTATCAGGTTTGCATGCGGTTTTCAGTTATGCTGCCTTCTTTTGTCGGTTTTTCGGTTTTGGAGGTTTTTTCCTCTGGTTTTGTGGTTTCCCAGAGGCCCCAATGCCCCCCTCCATATAAAAGATTTATCATGTATGCCTTCTTGTTGAACACAATTGAAAGTTGCTTAAGCCTTTGTTTTAATATCTAATAATCATTATCCTCCAACTTTCATGTGATTTTCTTCTACTTCCAGCTATGGTCAACCAAGCTGAAAGATCCTGTTGAAGTTCATGATGATTTGACACATTTAACTCTGGATGTGATCGGTCAATCTGCATTTGGTTACAACTTTAACACTGTCTTAGCAGGGGAGAGCAAAGTTTCTGAAGCAGTGGATATGGTCATTAGTGGAATGAGTTTTAGACAACTCATCGGGAAGACCTTTATTCCCTTTTTTGAGTACCTACCAACAAGTGAAAACAGGAGAATTAAGACTGCTAAGGAGATAGCTGACAATACAGTATTAGATGTAAGTATAAAATGGTTGCCTAGAGCTGCTTCAATTAATACACAGTTTTTTGTTTCAAGGTAGAGGTGAATTTGATCTGGTTAACCCTATCTGTAGCCTTTGAGGCTACATCAATTAAAATTATCCAACAAGATTAATAAACATGTGACGGGGAACAGTTCGTATAAAAATCTTGAAAGAGTTCTATTTGTGGAGCAAGAGAAAGTGCAATTTTTCCACTGCTTAACAAATTTAAGAACATCCTTATTATTGGATGCAATAAATAAGTCCCCTTTCAAAAATTGTATTAAGGATTTTTTTAAAGTATACCACTCAACATGAATGATTAATTGGCAAAAAATAATGTATTTTTATCAATATAAAGCATATTGTTGAAAAATATTGGCACACTGGTGACTTTAAATAGGAAAGAGTGGTGCCCATTTGCTTTGAGCAATTTCTTATTGAAATCCCTGCCCTACTTCCCAGTGGATATGAGTAGAACTCCTGGAGACTATCATTGCTCAACTTTTCATTATCCTGTGAATATATTACAGGGTTTTTATTTTCACTTTCAATTTCACAGTACTTGTGAGTCTTGCCACATAATTACTTTAATTTTCATGAACATTCCCTTATTATTTCTTAAATTAAAAATCAAACAACAAACATATGAAATACATATATATGAACTGCGGTTATGAAACGTATATGTGCACGATCCTTCGCAGTAAAGCACTATTTAAGCAATAGTGAAAATCAGACCTGAAAAAAAAAATTCAGGCCTGTACGGGATTTGAACCACTGACCTCTGCGATACTAGTGCAGCGCTCTAGTATCGCAGAGGATCCCGTACAGGCCTGAAATTTTTTTCAGGTCTGATTTTCACTATTGCTTAAATAGTGCTTTACTGCGAAGGATCGTGCACATATACGTAAATTAAAAATGCTGGTATTATAGTTCTTGGAAAATTTCACATTTGATGGAAAGCTCAAACCAAACCCATTTTGTGACAAGACCACCCTAAGTGATCCCGAGAGGGCCAAATTTTCCTTTTGTTGAAAAGTTGGATCATGTTTATTGTAGGTATTCTGGGCCGGAACATCAAAAGATATATCACTTGAGGGTTGGTTGATGCTCAACTGATATGTCCGTCAACACTGTCAATAGTCAGTTGATATATCAGCAAATAGGTATGTTGGCCCACATAGCAACTGACACTGAGCCAATAGTTGGTCGCTATATCAACCAACTATCACCTGGTTGTCAACCTACCATCTATTAACTATCAACTGACTGTCGACTGAGTGTCAACAGAGTATTGCAATGTATCTGTTGAGTATCGACTGACTCTCGACTGACATACCGGTTAAGAGTACCTATAATAAACAAGATTGGAAAAGTTTTACAGGCACTATGTGACTAGACCTAAACAGGTTACTTCTTTTAAGACCATATAGCCAAATATCATACCATCACGAAATATTGTTGATCTTTTGCATCCTAGAGCTGAGTAGTTTGCTTACCACCCCAGAGTTAGCTAATTTAGGGTGCACCAACACTCCTTATTTTTAAATAATAGGATATATACAAAATATTAAAGACGAAAACAATGCTTTTCTGTCATCTTAATGTTATTTTAAAGGGAATAAATTACAAAATGCCTGCCTCAAATAATAGCTCCTGGAGCTTGCAAATTTTTCTTCAAATAATGAAATTAATGTATGTTTAATTTCTTTGTTCAAGCAATAGATATCACTAGAAAACTGCACAACCCTAACGAGTAAATCATTTCCTTTTTTTTTTTTTTTTTTACCTCAGTCAGCCCAATTCTCTTGTTAATTAGGCAGGCAAAGAAACAGTTAAATTTTTTTGTAAAATTACTAGGAGTATCAAGTCTTTTTCCTTTTTCTCTTCAAAAGGTGATCAAAGAGCGTCGCAAAGAGAAAAAAGCTGGAATTGTGAGAGAGAAAAAAGATCTTCTAGATGTTCTGATGGACATGTATGATCAGGAAACAAATTCAGTCATGGACGATGAGGAGTTGAGGAGTCAGGTGCAGAAATTACATTCCTTGAATTATTGGACAATACTGAATTGCAGATTGAGGTTATTGCACCATTTTCATGATGAATGGAATGAAATAACTCTCTCTCATTGGGAGCCGGTATTGAAGTGACCTAAAAAAACATAAAGTTACAAATAAGCATCAAAAGTATTGTGTCCAGTAATTAATTCCTTTTTCTTAAACCATTTTTTAAAAATAATTAAAGTATGTAAAAACATACTTGTCAACAAGAATAATATGAGAGCTGCTTAATAGCCTCTTTAACTGTTTCAAATGCCTTTCTCATTAGAATTTAGAATAAATAAAGATTGTTGTTGTTGTTGTTGTTATCCCTAAAATCGAAAAAGGGGTCCCTGACTGTGCACTCTTTGGCCTGAATTTCTAGCATAAACCCTGCAGGTTCTCTTCATCTACATTGCAAGGTTTGAGATTGGAATTGTTGTTGGTAATATAGGTCGGTAATATAGGTCATTTTATTATCTTTATAAATCTTTTCAACTGTTTTTTTTTTCCTTTTTAAGGTGTTCACCTTTATGGTGGCTGGTCACGAGACAACTAGTGTTGCTCTTGCCTGGACCCTCTATGAGCTGGCAAAGAAGCCTCAAATCCAAGTTGAACTGAGAGAAGAAATAAACTCTGTGTTACGTGGTGGAACTGAGATGACATGGGATGCAGTTGAACGGCTCACGTACCTTGAAAAAGTCATTAAAGAAGCGCTGCGGCGCCACCCCCCTGCTAATGTGACTGGCCGTGCTCCAATTGAAGATATCACTATCGGGGGATATCTGATTCCCAAGGATACAGTTATAATATTGCCCATTGATGAATTACAGCGAACTTCCAAATTTTGGCCAAATCCTGACGACTTTGATCCTGAAAGATTCGATGAGAAAGGTATTAGTTTTATTGATGGCTTTATAACTGAGGCTTTTGGTTGAGACCTTGTCATGTGTTGAGTCCTCTGTTAAGTCCTTAAGTTTTCTTTTCTCGTTTTCAGAGGACCGAGCAGGTGTAAAGCCTTACACACACATTCCATTTGGGGTGGGCTCGCGCATGTGCATTGGATACAAATTTGCCTTGATGGAAATGAAGGTGATATTGGCGACTTTGTTGAAGAAATTTTCGGTCAGTGAGGCTCCCGAGTGTAAAGTTGAAGCCGTGCCAATGCTGACGGTCCGTCCCGCGGGACTTAAACTGCTGATAAGACTTGCAACCCAGCCCTGACTACGGAGCAACTTTCAGTTTCTTGAGGAAATAAATCTAGGATTGCGGTGCTTTTGCTTCATTTCATTCTGTGATTGATCCAGATAGCTCGCACCACTTTTTTTTTCCAAATTAGATGTACAACTTAAACCAAGTGTGATGTTATCGATCACCCTTTCTTGTGCTTGATTACGTTGAGTACTTCTGCGTCTTTGTTCCTCAGTCTTTGGACTGATTAGCCATTGTGGTTACAGCCGTATTTTGGTTTCAGTTCTTGCTGATACTCAGTCAAACAGCGTGTTTCCATTACGTTAACCAGAGCAAACGCAACTGTAAATGAGTAAGGAATTAGTACTAAAATTGTTACATTGCTTGATGAAATAGTTAGAATTGTGATCAGATGCCTGCACACACTTTATCAGGACATTTCCCAGATATATATCATTATAACTGTTGGTGGATGAATACACTCACTACACAAGTAGTTTATGTTACAAGTGTTAGCTAATAAATTAGTTATTATAGTTATTGTATGTAGACACATTACACCAGGTGTTTGTCTTACAAAACGAGAAATGGAGGTTTTAGTGCCGTCACACAGCTTATATAGTCACAATCGTTGTCGGCGTGGTGCTTGCAGACATCTATAGGCACTGACAAATTGAGAACCGGTCCACGTTCGAGCGATGTCGATAAGGGGTGTATTTCTATTTTACGAAAGCAAAGATGTATACCATTTAGATCCAAAATGACAGTCTTTTGAAGCCGGCACTACGCTGGAATTTACTGGTTATAAACAGACACTGTTCTCTCTATAACTGATGTTTCTAATTTCCCATATCTTCCATTAGGATCAAATTATTGTGCATACTCTATAAACCGAGACACACAACTCTTGTAATTTACAAGGTAGTGTTAGTAGTAGCACCGGCATTAGGACTTAATAATAACAATCTTTTATTAGGAAGCTCCATCACAATAGTGGTTTACATAGACTTCGCTCGTGAGTCCCGACCATTTGAGTTGTCTGGGCTCTGCTGCGCGGCCGTGACTGGGAAATTTCGTTTTTGTTCAGCAGACAAACATACGGGCGGACTAAAAGGTAAGGGGCCTGGTGTAAGGGTGGCGACTGTCTTCGAACTGTTTCCTCCACGGCGTCATTTAGATCGTCTTTTGAAGCCGGTACCCCACTAAGAATAGTTGTTCAGTTTCAGTGGAGAAATCCCTTTTGAAGTCCGTGTCCTGTAACTCTGGAAACCCTTGCTGGGCCTAACATGTTTTGTGCCACCAAACAGAGTCAAGTGTTTTGTTTTATTTACTTACTTAAACAGGTCTTTCATCATTTACCGGTCTATATTTAGAGGGTGTTAAAAGTAAACTTTGACAATTGGCGGGCCGTGCAACGCTTACCCTCGAGGTGCATTAACTTCAAAAACTAAGTTTGGCGGTAAAAGAGTGGAGAATTCATTTTTTGAAGGGATACAGCTAATATGCACTTCATAGTGAACAAAACAGGAAAAAAAATAGACAAAACTGAGCGACAAAGCGGCACATATCGCACTCGCGCCGTCTACGTAAATATAATTATTTTTCCAAAGTTACTGATACTAAAATAGCGAAATTTTTTTAATTGAACATATCAAATCGTGAAAAATAAATATTTCGCATTTGAATGAGAAAAAACTTCAATCCTTAAAGCAGCATTTCTTGCGTATTTTCAAATCAGGATAGAAGCGTCCGCTCAAACGAAGGCCTTCATCGGTGACAAGCATAAGGCCGCCTAAACATTGATCCTTGTAATTCTTAAGAACAAGTAGATTAGGAATTATCAATACATGAAGCTAGCAGTTCTTTTTGTTTCTCACCAATTCAAGGCACTTTGCTATCTAATTATTCCTTTCATCTATGATGACAACTTTCTTAACCACAAGCACCGAAGAAACTGTTCATGATGTCATCACAATCAGTTAACAACATCTCGAAGGTTGTCCTGCTGTATCAGAGGCTTGTCAGATTTTTGGTCGTCGATGTTTTGTACATCCACCTTAATCGTGTTCAATCTCTTTAGTTTGACGTTCTCATTATTTGAATCAGACGAAGAATCTCCTTGTTCTTTATCTATCAACGGATCCCTGACTTGGCGATCTCTTCCTTTAGCGTTCGCCTTGTCCGCAGCTTGCATTTTTAAGACAGCTCCGAAGTCAAATGCAATCGGTGATCCACTTGCCTGTGAAATCGGTGTGGGAACCAGTTGTGGAGGCAGCAAAACTTGGTGCTGTTGAGTTGGTGTTTTTGGTGTCTAAAGAAAAATTGACATCATTTGATCACGTTAAAACTAAAATCACTCTCTTTAGGCTGAAAATTGGAAAAAATGAACAATCGTTTCCAACTGTACTCAGGATAAAACTACAATGATGTCGTATCTTATCGAAAACGATTGAACAAATCCTGTGCAGATCGTTAACGGCTTGAGAATATTAATATTTGATTTTAAATATGTTTCTTTGCTTCCTTGTCAGCAATGTACCAATAACTTATTATTAGGCCCCTCACGTGTCATAGTTGGTCAATGTTTCTAACATCTGCTACATGGGTAGTCTTACATTATTTCAGATTCCGGTACATTAAAGAGTACCCTCTGCCAATCCTTTTACCTTTGCTATTTTGTAATTAATAATTATTTCAGATCCCTGTGCATGACAGAGTCGAAAGGCTACCCCACCTTTCCAATCCATAGTGGAATGAAGATGTTTGAAAAAAATTAGAAGGAACCGCCCTCATTCATTACATGCTCTCCTACTACTTCTTCTCAAAGCTTTTGTGTACTTTGATTATTGAAGGAAAAAACTAGGGGAAAAAAAATGAAAAAACCCTAAAGCTAACGTACCTATTTCCTATCATTTGGTTTGAAGGGATGCCTGTATCCAGACCAATCAGTAAGAAAATGAGCAGTTATTGATTGATTGAAATGCATCACACATGCAATGCCTTAAGACTTCTAAACAGATGTTTTTATGTAAACTATATTATAATTCTATGTCACGGAAAAAAAGTAACAAGCAACTGATTCCTGCAAGTTATTAGTTGTTTGCTCTGGCAAAAGCGATCATCAGTTCGATGTCCATTACCGTGACAACATTTTGCCAAAATTAAACATTTTAGGCAAGGTTGATGGACCGAATTATTCTTGATTAAATACAAAATACATTTTCGCCTTTTTTGTTTTTTTGCTTCCGGAACTCGAACCTTCCCTGCCCACTATATATCTCATTTATATTTTAATGATTTTAAAAAGGGGAGCAAGTTAAGCACGATGTTACGCTTGAATTGAACTACAAAAACATGTGCCTTCCGGCGCTGTCTAATTTTATGACATTTCAAAGCTCTAATTGTCGTCGCTTAGACTTTTTGGAATCATTTACAAGCAAGCTTTTGATTTTAGCCGAGATCTTTCATGTGTAAAAGTGTTTGCTTTTACAACATTTTCTCTGGGAAAGAATTGGTGATATGACATGCAGCGTTCAACACGAATTTGCATTAGTGTTGTCTGAGAATATTGTCTACTATAACATCACACCGAGAGAATAAGTTAAAATGTTATCAGATAAAATAAACATTATCGCGATGATCTCTCGAATACGTACGCGAATTTCTTCTCGTTTTGGAAAAGGATATTTGAAGAAATTTTTTATGAGAAATAAACACCAAGTCAGTTAAAATGTTCCATGACTTACCATCAGATGATAGTGATACACTTCGTACTTGTTTCGTAATGCCGTGTCTTTGGACGCAGGGTCCATATGCATTTCAAAGGGTGATTTCACGGGTTCGTCGAGTGATCGACAAGGTCCTTTGCAAACGCATATAGCACAACACCATAGCAGTGCGAGAAACCCAGCTAGGCCGGCAGAAATATAGATGGCTAATGTCCCATCCGCTAAAATCATTTTTTACGTTGAAATGTTCGCGTAACTTCTAGTCTCTCTTCCCTATTGATAATTTAAGAGTTATGATCGCAAATTTCCATATCCATTAATTCATCCAAAAGATGATTTGACTGTTCGCAGTTGTCAGAAAAATCATTGGTCAGATTCCATTGGACTGGAAGATGGATCCAAGAGAATGATATCGTTTTTAAAAGACACAAATGTTCGTTGAGAGTCGAACGTTTGGGAGCGTGGCAAAATTCTGTCTGACTTTATTGAAATCTGAAACGTGTTTATTTCACGTCACGCTTGATCGGCGGCGAGAACCAGAATCCCGCGAGATCCGCGCACGAGTATTCGAGAGAACGCGCTTCAGTTATTTAAGATTTATTTTATATGAGGAAATTTTGATAGATCAATAACAAATACGCAAACGACAAAACAACAACAACAAAAAGCATTCCAACTCGGTTATGATAATCTCTTTAATTCTTACATTATAAATCAGTAAATAAAATGTTTATATATTTTTAATGGTATTCTCGAGTTTTAACCTAATCGCAGAGTTTCAAAATTCCTTTTTTTTCTGTCTGTGCACTTGTCCTTCAGGAAAAGTGAATAAAAATTCACCTAAAAATAAAACTTTACTTTTACGACGATTGTAGCTATTTCGTTGTTGACTAATCAACAACAGATTACGGCTCTTGACATCAACTGCTCGGAGAAGGAAATACTATATCTGTCACGCGTATAGGACAAACAGAAAAATGGAAATTCTGTAAGGATTCCAGTATTTCTCGTTCGAATGCTCCACTTATGTAACGGATACAAACAAAGAAGTCAAAATGTTACACTTGCCAAGCTTTAGATCTACATCAATGTCCGTGGTAAACAACTTTGAACTTAACAATGCTTGATCTAAGAGGGTTAGTTCTAAGTATATAAACTAATAAGGCGTTTCATAGCATCCACGTCGAAACATACGCAAGTATGCATACATCAGTTAATGACTAATTGGGTGGTTAACGTCTGTACGTTCGAAATCATTAGTGTGATTTTCGTCACGTTCTCCAAAATCCATAAGCGTGTTATAAATTTTCAACCGCTGTTTCTCTTTCCAAGAGATGCTCTGCATGTTCTTCTGCCTGTTTGATTGTGGTTTTCTAATAATCCCTCCAATTCGATGCGTCTTTGGCGCATTATCAACGCACTTCTCATTACTCTGATGTGCCACCAAAAAATTGTCATTATCGTCGAACCAATTACAAAACAAATCGCTGCTAAAAGTCGAAATATCTTGGGAGCATTTTTACTGTAACAGTGGCTACAGTGTCCTGAGGTTATATGTTGGCGCTGCTGTGCGATTCCCAAGAAAACGAAGCAAAGAATAATCAAAACAAATCCGACAAAAATGAATAGGCTGTTGCGCATAATTCTTCGTCTTAGAGACCTCGGTTCGTCTTGATGGTCCATGGCCACGTCCCATGTTAACACGGCCAAAGTTTCAGCTATAAACTGGGAATAAAGGAGATGAAAAAGCTGCTCAATGCATTGGACCTGTCTTACAGTTCTAACAAAAACTTTAGCGTTGAACTAACGAGCGACAGCCTCTCTTAATGATTACTGATACTGACAGGCATGATGTACTTACGTTACGGTTCCGTTGTTATGGTGATGCCATGTGAGTCTCAAAGCAAATTATTTTCTAAATTTGCTTTGTTTTCAAATTTGAGATCAGGATAAGATCTTGAAAGATCTTTTTAAGACGCTACTCAATAAAAGATATTTAGATCGATATCTATCGTTTACTTTGTTCATAAATCGAGATGTTATGTAAGCCTACTTCAAGTCACGCAATGTGGGAGCTTGGTAGCCGCTCCTACTTAATACACCGTTCTTCGTCTGTCAACATGACCGCTCTCGATTTAGCTACTGCGATTGATATTTCTGCGCTTTTATTTTTCCTGTTCGTGACATTATGGATCATTACTATCGTCTGCACAAGGCAACCACTTAAAGACATAAAAACAACTCTGGAACGACAGCCAAACAGAGTGCTGAAGAACGATTACACCAGACATCATTTGCCTCGAGAGAAGAATCCTATAAAGCTGTTATGACTTGGTCTGTGTATTCAGCAGTTATGACCCAACAAATATCGACTGGATGGAATTTCTACGGTAAATAGGGGATAGGAAATATGCTGGAAGCGGATAAATTCCTTTAGAATGGGACTGACTTACACGGACTGTGCCCACCACGTTGTTTTACAACATGACCTTTTATGTCCTCGTGTGGATACGGATAAATTCTTGAAGAGAATACCGTATTTATTTTCCGTTATTTCCAGGTGGAAATTTTACCCATAGAATGGCATTAGGAAAAGCTTCGAAAAGATTACAGAATACTGGATTAACCAAGCGTGCGTTACTAATTTGTGTCACGCCATCTTCTTTATAACGTAACCAGAGAGGGTGACTCCAGGAAACTCTCGAACAATGTTGCTATGGTTAGCGATGGGTCTTGCCAACAAACACAACCGTATTCAGCTAGTCATATGGTTTATGTTGCCCATAATATGGCACAAACATAGCACAACATAGTTACAGTGTAATTTTGCTTTAAACAACTGAGTTTATTGTGTAAATTGGCCACTGTAGAGTTTCCAAAGCTGACTCAAATGTCAACAAATCTTGGACAAATCTCCTGCAGGAACAAATATGTATATATATAGTAAAACAAAACAAGTAAGAAATAAATAAATTTAAAAAAAACTTTTAAGCTAACATGTTATCGATATGTTTTTAAACTTTTTATTGAGTTTTACTTTAATCAAACAAAAAACAACAAGCGAGGAGGTTAAATTTTGCTACATTAAACTTTACGCTAACATTCCTCTGGTAGTAACTAAGACCGCCAACGAAATTTGCATGGCAACTTTTATCAGTGAGGCAATTGATAAGTCAGTTTTATCATCTTGCAAAAAAAACAACAACAACACACACAACTTCGATCTCGCTTTATGAAATGACTTCTGAATAAATCTCATAAAACTCTTTTTCTAGAGTAAGGCCTGCTCCTTAACTGTCAGACTGTGATAGATTTTTTCTTCCTCCTATGAATAAAGTAAAAGAACAGGAAAAATGCTTGGCATATAGCCTTAATACTGGAAAATTCATTCAAATTAACAAAACAAATCGAAGTGTAAGATAGATCGTAAAAGAGAAGTTTTCAAATACTTTCTATGTCAGTTTTAAAACTGGATCCGAGCGAACTAGTTGCGTCGTCTACGGAATGATGCTTGTATAGAAATGGGTTAAAAATCTACCTATTTTTCGTATTTCAATCAATACTTTTCTTATATTAAAAAGAAAAAGAGAAAGCTGTTACTATCATTTTGCTCCGTTACCTTTTTTGCCACGGCGCGGTTTCCTGCAGATCTTAGTGTTGGTTTCTGGGTCGAAATATGTTCTCAAAGTTGATGGACATCTTCTGGTACAAATTGTGCGATCGCGTAGTTTTAACAATTGCAACTCTACAAAGCACTTCTTACAAACTCCCTCCAGTGTACATTGCTCGCAGCCTCTAACACACTCTAAAAGAGAAAAAGCTTGGAATTAATGTGCATATTTGAAGGAAAATTTGGCTTACTGTCAGTCGAGTGTACGCAAATGTTTTGGCATTTCTTCGCAGTACCGTCGAATAGGGCTGATATTCATATTGATTTACAAATCTAGCGAGCACATCTCTATAATTAAATTCTTTACTCAAATCAATATTGAAACAGTCACTTACTGCTGTTTGGTCTGTTTGGTTTTCCTCCTTTTTGCTGGAATTCGCATTTAGGAGGAGACACGCCTTTCTTCAGCTTGTAGAATGGCGGACATCTCCTTACGCATTTTGTGATGTTACTGCCTGGTGGTGTAAAAAGCTTTTGATCTCTTTCACATTCGGTGCAGAGGCCTGGGGAGGTGCAGTTAGCACATCCTCGTCCACAACCTACAGTGTTAAAATATAGCACACCTCACTCGTCTGCCCAGGTTCGTCAATTTAGGCATGGGTTGCACTTGGCAAAGTTTGGTGTGAATGTGGTCACTTTGGCGTAAAAATCTGTCATCGGGGCACATTGCCTAATGCGACCCTAACTCCAGTTCGAAAAAAAACTTTGAAAACCGGCCAAAATATCAAAGACGCCGTAGTGCTTGGGTGGGGCAGGTAGATTTCGGAAAACTCGGACTAAACAATAGCTATCACAGCGGTAACTGTCATCACCTGTCAGTAAACAGCAAACAACTCGACTGGTCACGGAACTGATCAGGCATATGGCGCTCGAAGTAATCTTCGCTGACGTCGATACATACATACATACATATACTTTATTTAATCTCGAATTTGAAGCAGCTAAGGGATAAGCTAGTATCTTCGAGTTAAACAGGCGTTAACCCATCTTTCATAGATCATACGAAAGACAAAAAAGTGCTCGTGATTTAACTGAATAAGAAGAATAAGCATCACCGTGATCGTTATTAACAATGCTTCAACGGGACGCATTTTTTTAACGTTTGTTTTCCTTTTTCAGCTCACTGCTCTCTCCCCATAGCACGTCGATAAACGTGTGTCTGGTTTATCAAAGTGTCATCACTGACATTTTTTTCACCTAGTGCGACCCTGATAGTTAAAACCAAAAGTTTGCTTTCCGGTTGCGGTTTCAAATTTTCTGTGTTTTTTTTTGCCGGCAAAGTTGAAAACTTTGCCCAAGTGCGACCCATACCTTACGCTCCATTCCTATGTAATCCATATTTGTTTAGGCCCTTTACTGCATTTTTCCTTTGCTTTAAAGCCAAGATTTTAAGTTCAACTGGTAGGTTAGCTCGGCGCAAAACAATCATTTCAAAAAGCAATCGTATGCTTTTGTTTCCTTATTAGCTTTTCATGGTTTCAACAGCTTGCACCGAGCTAAATGGCCAAGATTTGCCAAGAAAAATCGAATATCTGGTCAGTGGGCAAAACTTTCACCTCTTGCGTCTATACGTATGCACCATAGAACACGCGTAAACCCAGTCAGGTCATAAGGGGAAAAAAAGAGGCTTGTGAGGGTCGCATTGGACTATGACCTCGTTTGATTTAAATGACCTACTCACCGGACTCTGTGCATTCCCTCACGAAAACGTCTGGCCAAACTCTTTTCATTAGACGACCGCAAGGAACACAGACCGTTCTTTTTAAGATTCTCGTTTGAACTTTGAAGAATCCAGGATTGCACATTTGGTTGTTCCCTTTATCCCAAACTGAACAGTTTCTGGTACAATCTGAGTAAATAACAACAAATGGAGGAAAATATTAAAGCGACATATTCCCGGGATGTACAATAAAGTGATCGACTTATCAAAGTAAATTATCAGACAAGTGTAAAGAATTATACCGTTGTAAATAAGTCTTTGTGACGTGCATGTTATGGTCGAGGCTTTTTTTGAAGCAAGATATATAAAGGGTGTTTGATGAGATATAAGTATATTGTTGGGCTGACGAATCTTTCAAAGAAAGTTTAACGGTTGAGTTTTACATGTAGAATGCTCAGACTTTGGCTATGAATGACTTAATTTTAAACGTACTGGTGCTGCATTGTTGGAGGTATAAATCAGGATCCTTCATTTTTAGACGTCGGCCACACGGTATACATCCTGTTCTGTTGTTGCGCAACATTTTCAGCGCAAAACCGTCGTCGCACTCTAGACATACACCCTCCTCGCAGTCTGAACAGTTTCTGGGACATGTTAATTCTGTAAAATATGAATAAGAACAAGGAAAATCACCTTTGATTGAATAAGGATTTTTATAATTCTAATTACGCAATATGCAACAAAATACTCACTCGTTACATAAAAGAAATTTTTAGTTGGATTTCAAACTAACCTTTCGTGCCCGATCTTATCCCGTTCTTCCGTCTTGAACCCCCTTTTCCGCCCCTTTTGGAATCAACCGTAACGAAAAGGAGTACCGCGGCGAACAGCAAGAAAGCCACCATAACGCCCTTCATAATTATGCGTTCGCTGAAGTTACGACCAAGAAAGCGGGGAGATCTAATATGCTTCTGCTCGGAATGGTATCCCTTTTTATGTTGTCGTGTTATTTGAGATCGTTTATACGCGAATTATCCAGAAACAATAGAACTCGCACATGTCTATTGGCTCTTGCCATATCACGTCCGGAAAACGGCAGGTTTAATATCTCTTCTTTGATACGTGCCTCTTGCGAAATTTCCTTCGGTGATGTCATACAAGATTTGAACGCCCTCGTAAAAGCATACACGTTTTCGCAGCATTATTTCCGTCATAGAAACTTCGAAGGATATAATCTAATTATCAGATGTATGATCACATTTGTCACGGTTCCATCGTTTCCTGAACTTGTAGAAATGATTCTTCTGAGAATGTCATCAGGCAAGCAAGTACAACTCGAAAAAAAAACACAAAATACAGCACTTAACATGATTGACACTTTTTGACTGGTCAAGCAACGGTTGGTCAAAAACTTTAAGTAGCATTACTCCACTGATAAATCGTAATACAGGCGAACCTGTCTTAAGTGGCACCTTATTAAGTATTCATTCTGTTTTATTCCGAATTTTTTTCCCCTTACAAAGTGTTTCTCATGGTAAGCGGTCGTGGTCACCTTGTTTATTTCGTCATCCACCTGTATATATAGCAGTCCCTTAAACGGAACTAAATCAAAGCAAATCAAATAAAACTAAGAATAATCTCTACTCGCCATTCCCCGTAGGTGACCTCTTCATATATACAGGTTTGACTGTATTGTCTTTCTTACATTGCACTTGTCAACTGGCAATAACACTCCTTTCATGAAATTGAAAGCAGTCGCATTACAATGATGTCATTAAGATACCAACACTGTAACACGGTTTGCATTTGCGCGCATTTTTTTATGGAAGCCGAAGATTTCTTCCGTGTTTGCTGAACCTCGCGTTAACACTCAGTTTTTGGACACGTACTTGCTCTTCAACTTTGTAATTGATGGTTGTTGGAGTGAATCATGAGGGGAGGGGTGCGGCATGTCCTTGAAAGGTGCCGATTTAAACGGTTAAAAATGAGAGCTATCTGACTTGAGGACTGAAGCACTTTCCACAGGTAAATGGGCGTCTGATGATGGAATCTGAAACCAGCCATTTTGAAACACATATATTTCACTTTTCACGCAACACGAAATACTTTGTATCACGTAATTATTTCGTTGTGGCGTAGTTATGTTTTCTGTTCTCTCACTTTCCATTTTGCAAATGGCTATTTGTTTCTAATTTTCCTTACAAAAAAAAACCAAATTGAAATCAATTCGTGAGGAGTTTTGCTCATGAGGCAGATCTACAATGTACTACGGACTATTGTGATGACCTTAAAGCTAATTCAGATATTTGTACGCCATTTTTTGTTACAGTTTAGTGCTTGTTTGCTTTCAGTTAAAATGAGAAAGGATGCACACATGGGAGGTTAAAGTTATCCTGATGGTCTAAAAAAGAGTCATTGTCCCTACATGGCGCAATCTTGTGAGTCTCTAAACTAAATAAGGGTCATCACTTTAAATGGACACCCATTAGAATTGCTAGGATGTACCGGATTTCAACACGAGCGAATTTCCCACCATTTGCGAAAAGTAATACAACCAAACCATGGTTACTTTATTAACAGCTTTATTAAAAGAACAAAATATTTGACACGGCCCTAACTGTACTCACACTTTGTACAGTTTCGATGAACTCTCTATATCATCGCCAGTTCTATATTCAATTCATACTAAAACGAGATGTGTCAAGCACTCGGCATAAAATTCTACAAAGTTACACAAAAAAAAAAAAAAGTGAAAAAGACAAAATTGAACAAATTACCAAATTTTGTGTTCAAACGCTTGAATGCAACCCCCGTCACATAGTGTCTAATGTTTGTAAGTTTTGATCCTTGATTACATGTTCGTAAACATAATATAGGGTAGCATGTGGACAGGATTTTGCCAAGGTTAAAGCCGGGAGAAACAGTAATGCAGAAAAATAAAATGCCAGGAACAATTGGTTGATTTTGCTATTTACGAATTTTCTTGGACTATCCTGGGGGAATAAGATAAAAACAGATGGAAACGCCCGACCATTACAAATCCGATAATACACTACAGAAGGAATTAAATTGGTAAAAACAAGATTTTCACTTCGCGAGCGTTTGAACACACGCAATTTGGGGTGAGGATATATTAGTGTGGCTCTGCAGTGGGCTGTGTTGGGTTCGGTCGTCTCTTTCGCTTTGGTTTTCCTTTGCCTCCTGTTTATCAGAGAAGAAAATACCACTCAGTGTTTGCTTTAAGCCCAAGACTCACAAAGTTACATGAACAAAGGAAATCAGATTATAAACAGGTGAATATTGATTGTTGTACGTCATTTACACACAACTTCGTTGAGTTTCAATGTGTTAAAACACCTGACTCAAAATTGGACCTGAAACCTGTTGAAAACTTCGAATAGTAAGCAACTTTGTGATCGGTAGAGAATGTTGAGCTACCTTTCAAGAATTGCCTTTTATCTATTTATTTTTTAAATGTTACAGAATCCCACCGACCAATTAAGAGGGCTTGCACTCAAACTAAACGACATGTTCGCGATCGTTCATAAAATATTTACGTCAAACCCAGGAGATGTGGTATACAATAAGGGATTGAAGCTAACAAAATGGGGAAGGGGTAAAAAAAAAAAGGTATGGGAAGGGTTGCATTGAGCAAGCGTAAACGTGTTTTTTATAACTTCCTTATAATTTAATGAAATCAACTTGCCTTTTCGCTTCTTTTTTCGTCCTTTTTCGTTACGTTTTCCTTCACAGGCTTGCGATTTATAGTTGGGGTCTGCTCTTGAACAAGCTTTCACACATCTTCTTGATTTACGGCCGAGAACGAGGCCCTCGTTGCAACCGGAGCAAACTCCTGATACGCATGTCTTACAGCCCTTTCCACAATCTGTAAACAAATAATAAAGGTAGGGCGTAAAATTCACCTTTTTCCGGTAGCCACTTGGCTCCTAAATATTTTAAAGTGGTAGCCAATTCCAAAAAGTTGGTGCCCATTATGACACACTCACACAAAAAAAGTTTTTTACCCTGTCACTGTACTAGATTTATCATATCATAGTGATACAGTCATACAAACATCAAAAACGAGCCCGCTAAATTCGCACTAGCTACAAAGAGGACACTAGAATGGATTATATACAACTTTATGGGTTACCTAAATTCAAGATGGCGTCTAGTGACGGAAGATTTACGTTCGACATCGTGCATGTGCTGCGCTTTGGAAACGAGCTTAACGAGGAACTTTGCTGCAGATTTATCTTTACAAATTTTCAACAATCATTAGATCTCTAGGTAAGGTGTGATTAGAAATTCTAGTCGCCAATTTGGCGACTAATTTTCAGGATTTGGTCGCCAAAGTTAAAAATTTAGTCGCATTGGCGCCTGTATTAGGCGCAATTTTACGCCCTGAAAGGTAAAGATGGAAGAGATCGATAAGGAAATCTTGAAATACTTAAGGTAAAAGGTCTGAATGTAACATCAAGGGCGTAACCAGGGGGGGGGGGCCTGGGGTGCCCGTGACCCCACCTTGGTAGGCCTTCTTTTAAGCAAACAACCTACAATATTCAGGTGGTGAAAACGTCATCACAATATCTTGGCCTGTCCACTTTACTCTCACTACTCATCCCAAAACTGTAACATTAAGTAAAACATGCACGGCGGGGAGGTCGACATGACAATCTGGTGAGTAGCCTCTGTGATCCCCCCTTTGAAAAATCCTGGCTACGCCCCTGAACATGTATCCATTCTGTTAAATATTTATTTTGAAGTCATTCCCCTAGTAATTAGTTCCTTTCCCCAGCGGTCTACTTTATGTAGGTGTTTCTCACAATTTTATTCTCTTTGTTCCTCAAATTAATCATTTATTCTTTTTATTTATACTGAGTTAAGATAACTCAAGCTAATAAAAACAGGATCTGAGTAAAACTGAAAATTTGATGAGACAGAAACAGGTTACATCGTGAAGGATTCAGTACATTTCAAGGAGTACAAGTACTCAATGCGAACAGTTACGTTAAACTTGCCTTTTATCTTTTTGCACATATTCTTGTCTTGGTTCAGTTGAAAACCGTTTGCGCATTCTGTACAGGTTCCGTTTGTGCATGTTAGACAGTTTTTCCCACAACTTTCTGAAAAAAGATTGAAAAGTGACAAGCAATTAATCCTTTTACTCCCAGAAGTGACTAACAAATAAATTCTCCAAATAAAATTCATACATTACCCACCAAGCATGTAATGAGAAATTATACCTAATTATCCAAGATGTTATCTTGATCCAATACCAAATTCTCGTCACTAATTTACAAGGAAATGTGTAGCAGCTTAAGGGGAGAATTAACAATCCGATCTTGGGAATGAAAATGTTCAATATTTCCGGAGTTAGGCACCATCTCAGAGTTGCGCAGAGCCCTCATGGCCCTCTTGACAGAACTGAACAATAAAACACTATCATGCACACAATTGTACAACAAGGAATTACCTGAGCCACATTGTGATTTGTCTATCCTTTTACCATTTCTCCCAGTAGCGCAGGAAATACAAGCTGTTTTATTCTTACGTCCAGTGACTAAAGCGAAACCACTTTCGCAAACAAGGCACGCTCCATTCTTGCAGCTGGAGCACTTTTGCGGACAGCTCAGCGAAGGATCTGTCGTAGTTACTAAAAGTTGAAAAACACAATCAGTATACACTTCTCTGACTTTTTCTATGAAGGTCAGGGTCAAGACGCTTAGGAATGGTGAAATACGAGCAGTCCCTTTTTGTTCTTCTCTGTGGAAAAAAAAAAGGAATCAAGGGTGGAGAGCAATAAATAGAGACACGAAAAACTGCGTCAAAACCCGTGGTCAGAGTGGTCTCCTTTGCATTAGTTCTATGGGGTGTAGCGCAAAAGGGCCACTACGAAGGAGAAAGGATCAGAGGTGATCTCTGCTAGATCCTTTCGCACGGCCACTGACGCCCATCTATTGAGCAGCGGTGTAATGACAGCAAACTGCCAATAAAAACTCTGGGTATCCTCACCCAGAAACGATGATAATAACCATAATAACAAACACATGTGGCTGCATAAGCTAAGGCGGCCTTCTTGTTTTTCTCGTTAGTTTCTTCATGTATTCCTTGCAAGTCCAAAAGGCGCCGCTTGGGAGGCTACAAGAGTAATGGGGACGATTGTTCTTCGATCATTTCACAGCTAGCCCCTTTTTTAAATCTTTGACCGCACAAAGCTGCTGACTACTTGAAACAAACTTGCTCACCTGGAGGGCACTTGGACATGTCTCCATTCAGAGCAGTCTTTTTTCCTCGTTTGCTGCAAGGAACACAGACTGTCTTAGATCGTTTCGGGAAAGTGACTTTAGCGAATCCGTCATCGCACTCGAGGCAGGTTCCTTCTCGGTCACAAATATTGCAGTTTTTGGTACAGGCTAGTTGAGTATAAGATAACACAAACCGTCCACAAGTTAGAAGACGAAATAAACGAATGGGGTGCACCTATGAAAATTAACTAATGAAAATAATAACTTGGACAATGAAACGGACCTCAACACCAGATATATAGATAATGGCCCCATTGTCTGAATCTTCTCACTGGCGCATTATAATGAAGTACGTGTTATGAGCGCATCACGTTGTACAATTGCTGATCATCCATGGTCCCTACATTTGATTGAGAATCGTGGAAATTTTTGAGATGTGCTTATATTAATTGCCCGAGAAAGAACACGCGCAACACAACCGACTTAAAGAAATGGAGAAACCCATAAAAGAACGTCGGATGTAAGGTTGTTACTAGACGCTGCAACATCAAGATTAAAGATGGCTCTGCTCAAGTTTCAATCCTAAAATAGGGCATCAAGCTGGATTAAAAAAAATCAGAACGTTCATTTCATTCAGCAATTTGATTTTCTCTCACTTTCTCTAGCAGCATTCCTTAATACAAGCGAATATGTACAGCAAATTATATCAGCTTTTGTTTCATGAGATTCCGCTTCAGCCCAAAGGGAAAGTAATTTCAATATCCTATTCTTTTCGCTGTCTGCGTGGCTAAACGCCTCAGCTGACCGTAAATCTGAAACCTATCACGTATCGGCTGTTATTTCTAATTTCAGACCAAGACTCTGAGGCAAGGCTTTGCCCTTTCGGTAGATGAAATTCACAAAGAAAGCATAGAAAGGTCAATATCCGAATCAGGCAAATAAATATCCTCAAGAATTATAGACAGATTCCTAATGCGCGAACCCTGTAGGACGGAAACGCAATATTGCTGCTGTAGCGTAGGCTTACAAAACCTAAAGACAAAAAACTAGCTCAGGATAAAATTTACAAACGTTACATTGACAGAGGTTGAGTATCCTTAATCTTCCTTTTCTAATTGGCGTAATGAGGGTTATTCCAAGTTTTGATTTATAGGTCTCACCTTTTTTGTTTGGCCGAGAAAAGCCTCCTTTACCTTTTCCTCCTCGCTTTCGACCTCTCCTACCCTCGGCTGTAGCAAGAAGAACGATGGCGATGCCTAACAGAACCAAAAACGTCTTCTTCATGACGATACGATGAAAGCCTCTAAACGCTCCAAACTCCTGATGATTCTGGTTTGTCTTCGGAATTTCGCTGCCTTGACCCACCAAACCTGTACAGACAAACCGGCTTTGTTTCAGAGAACAATACAAAAGGAAAGCTGCTGTCATACCTGTTATGGTTATTATCAGTCTGGTATCAAGCTGAAGGTCAAAGTTTCCTATGCCCATTAGTATCTCAATAAACACGATTTGGCAGTTTTTCCCTGATGAGTGGGTAATCATTTTCAGATTTTAAAACCTGTTTGACGCTTCTCATGTTTTGGCATGAAACACTTGAAGTGCTGAAACTTTCAGGACATCCCAGAAATCATCCCAAACTAGACTGATGAACTGTTTGATTTGTTGCGATTTCCGGACTCAACTAAACTACCTTCTGAACTTGGAAATCTTAATGCAGCTTACTGAGGTTGAAGCTGTGAGGACGCATGCCTAATTAAAGGAAAACGAACAAGAACAGTTATTTTTGTCCAATGCCGTGGGTGTTGTTCACCTAACACCTCATCTGTCGACTTTTTTTTTAATCATCGTTAAATTTGCACATCAACACATTCCTCAGTGACTACTCATTACCCCTGATTCAGTCATTTCCGTTTTAGCCACGTGCTTCTGGCTTATCTTGGAGGGTGATCACGTGCCCGCTGTTTACGTCATTGTTGTGTGACGTCTTTAGTCTGTTCACAAATAGCTAATGTCTGGCGCCTAATCAATCAAAGATAGATTTTCATCATAGACGTTGATGAAATGAAAATCAGCTGGATCTGAGCTAGGGCGAAGCTGCAAAACTCGCAAATTTACACGTCAATCCTGAATTGGAGAATGTCGTAAGGAGGAAAAAAGAAAGAAAAGAAAACAACAAGGTGAAAGCAAAAGTGACAGTGTTACCCGCTTGAACCTTTTGGACTGGTTTATAAAAACTCCTTCTTTTGTTTCGAACAACATGGGACAAAACAACTCAGCAAGGAATTAAGTCTTGATGTCAACTCGAAGCCATTTTAGCTTTTATGCATCGTCATATAAACCGTACATTACTATAGCCAAGGTCATGTAACAAGTTATACTTTGGGCTTCATAAACAACTTCAAACTTTCATCGACGCATGCATGTTGTTTCCAGTGATAAAAATGGTTGATGCGTAATAAAGGTGACAAAAGTCTAATGTATCAACAAGGGTTGACATATTTCCTGTGGAAAAGCACCGGATAAACCTCTTAAGCAGAAATTAAAAACTCAGATATTTTATATCAGTACAGTAATGAAAGGATCTTTTGAATTATTTGAAAAGCCCCACTCGTTCTCCATCCACAGGGTTGCTCAGTACATTCTTGAATGAAAATCGATTAGCAGTTGTTTTTAGAACGCATTTAACAGGTTTAGACTTCCTTTACACATACTACACTTTTTTAGGATCAAATTGCCAGACTACCAAAGTGTCTGCCCTCACCCCCTTTTCAATTTGAGACAATGTGAGCACTATTGAAAGATTTTAAGACTTTGTCTTACGATTTGAAGGTAGACTCGTTTCGAGAAGGTTCTGTTTCTGTCATTAAAGATAGCTTACAGAGAAAAAGATCACAGCCTTACTTTGAAAATTTTGTTTGACATTTATTATGAAATTAATTCAAAGTAAATAAATACGTACCCTGCGGTAATGTAGTGGGCTCCGGTATTTTAAGGTAGAAAATTAGTCTTTTCCAGCCATTGAGTCAGTGAAATGGAGCGAAATACTTAAGGCGCGATAATGCTTATGGTTAGGGTTGGTAATTTGAAGGCGATAATGCGACGTGACCGCCAAAGCCATACAAGGAGTCCGTGAAGTAATGTGTGTGCGAGAGCCCAGTGATCTGGTTCGCGATGAAATGCGGATAGCAAGTTTTCCTGACTTTAGCAGAAGCTTGTTCATCCGTTGGTACGAGAAAATACAGGAAAATTTTCCACTTATCCCGACCCCCTTGAATAAGTACTTTTGCTTGAAGACAACTACAACGGAGTCTCCTAACCAGTCCCAAGCCGCGTTTAGCTGGATAGATCGCAGGGTATGATTGGCCACTGTATCACATTACGTCAGGGAACATAGCTACAATAAGGGGACATAAGTGCAACGGTACAACTGAACGCCTTTCTGTCACCCTCTCGAGTCCGGTCTTTTTCGTTTCTCCCCGCGGGCTCAGGTTCTCGAACAGTGGCTGGTCATCAAGCCTAGCCTGGTACTGGGTCAGTAGAAAATTAGCCGGTCTGAAAAAAGATGGCCAGTGCAATGTATAGGCCCGTTTGATGATTTTGGGAATGACAGTTTGTGAAGAGGATAGAACTGGATAAACTGTGCCCTCACTTATTACCTGTATATTGCAAAATTTGACCTTTCAAAAACAATTATACCACACATACCAAGACGTGGTAGTCTGATAGAAAATGAAAATATATATCCGGCAGAAAATGAGAGAGGGGGGGAGGGGGGGTGGTTGGGATATAACTTGCTGTAACCCAGAGGACCACGGATTCCATATCTTTACTAGAAATATTATCTGTTTTAATTTTGCATCAAACCAGCTAAAATCCTCTCGAGCGTTAGATTCATTATACCCATTTTTACACCCTTACATCTGTATGCATGTTGTACATGCCGTCTGTATACGTTCCATATGTACTGACGAGAACTTCGTTTAAGTCAAGAGTTCTTTAATTCTTTATTCTCATGACCTTAATTTTTAATCTAGTGGTGAATCCACACTTATTTTTTATTTAACCGTATTGTCTTCCCATACTGTAGATATAAAATCCGAAATCTCTTCAATACAAACAAAAACTAAGCACACACAATAACTATAAAAATCAAGCCCAAAAAATCGCTTACATGTTAGCTATGTTCACTTAAAGTTGTCTTTCAGAAGTAAAAACATGAGGTAATCGCAACTGGATAAAAGGAAACTTAAGGCCAAAAGTCTATGAAAATGCCTGGTTCAGGTGTATCGGTTGGTTCGGTAGTAGTGAAAGATTCAGTCGTGAAGAGCTCGGTCGTAGTCAGCTCAGCGGAAGTGGGTCCAGGGGTACTGAATGTGTCTGGGGTAGTCCACGAGTTAGACATGGTGGTGGGCTCTTCAGTTGTTGGCTCCTCAGTAGTTGGCTCTTCAGTTGTTGGCGCTTCAGTTGTTGGCTCTTCAGTTGTTGGCGCTTCAGTTGTTGGCTCTTCAGTTGTTGGCGCTTCAGTTGTTGGCTCTTCAGTTGTTGGCGCTTCAGTTGTTGGCTCTTCAGTTGTTGGCGCTTCAGTTGTTGGCTCTTCAGTTGTTGGCGCTTCAGTTGTTGGCTCTTCAGTTGTTGGCGCTTCAGTTGTTGGCTCTTCAGTTGTTGGCGCTTCAGTTGTTGGCTCTTCAGTTGTTGGCGCTTCAGTTGTTGGCTCTTCAGTTGTTGGCGCTTCAGTTGTTGGCTCTTCAGTTGTTGGCGCTTCAGTTGTTGGCTCTTCAGTTGTTGGCGCTTCAGTTGTTGGCTCTTCAGTTGTTGGCGCTTCAGTTGTTGGCTCTTCAGTTGTTGGCGCTTCAGTTGTTGGCTCTTCAGTTGTTGGCGCTTCAGTTGTTGGCTCTTCAGTTGTTGGCGCTTCAGTTGTTGGCTCTTCAGTTGTTGGCGCTTCAGTTGTTGGCTCTTCAGTTGTTGGCGCTTCAGTTGTTGGCTCTTCAGTTGTTGGCGCTTCAGTTGTTGGCTCTTCAGTTGTTGGCTCAGTGGGGGCCTCTGTTTTTATAGCCACACCTACTATGAATTAAAAGGTAACCAAAGGCCAGCACTTGGAAAGTTAGCTAAAGTGCTTGTTAATTATCGGGCCTCATGGACCAAATGGGTAAACAACGGACTCACTCAACTGAAAAATTCTGACCGATCTAAGAATGCTCTGGGAGAATGTGTATCATTTAGACGCCTCTAGACTCGTTATGATGGGGACTTGATCGATTTCACCTTCACTATGTTTCGCTCATTGTGCTCCTTGCTAAGACACTGAAGAATAGAACTGCTGTGATACTCAAATAGAATAGAACTGCTGTGATACTCAAAAGAGGTAAGAGGCAGCTTTGGGGTGAATTGCAGATTATAATCTCGTGAAGCAGCCTACAAGTTGTTCTGTCTTGTTCCCTATCACTGATCCTATTTAGGTAATATTTCCAACTACTGAGTGTGGCATATCGCCTTACGTAATAATGTTAGCCCGTTTGCTTCACACACCTTTCACGCATTCAGGAACACCCTTCTTGTCACTTTTCATGTAACCGGAGGGGCAGTGAGAGAAGCAAAAGTCGTGCTGCTGCCACGGTTTATTACCAGCTGTTAATTTGTAGTAGCCAGGCTTGCATCTTTCACATCTGTTGGGTCGTTGAAACACTCCCCATCGTTTGGGACAGGATCCACAGTTCGGTACTTGACACTCTACTTAGCCGAAAAGAGAAGAAAGAAGATAAAAGATTGAAGCATGAAACGAGTGAAATAACGGAAAGAAGCTTTTTAAGATGTATGCTATTCTTCCTGACTGAGAGTCAACGTTCTCAAATATCACAAACAATGACTTGTGATCGAAATCCCAAACCGGTGAAAGAGGACTGCGGCAAATACTGAGTGAAAGAGTAACTGCAGTTCCAATTTAGCCTCATTTTAATTTTCAAGTTCATCAACTGAGTCGATAAAGTAAATTAGCCACCATAAAGAGTTTCATAGCTGACGTTTCGAGCGTTAGCCCTTCGTCAGAGCGAATGATCAATTCGCCATGCGCTCCGTAACGAACCTTATTGTACTCCCCCACTGACGCATCATCTCAGTTTTTTTAGAAACTTACCCCCTTTATATAGATTCATTAGCCTCGTGTTAGTCTACCTACTTCCATCAAAGGTGATATTCTAAACTAGAATAAGAATAACTATAAAAATAATGATAGTAATAAAGATGATGATAATGTTAATAAGAATACCAAGACTACCACAAATGTAGAGGTGAATAATAGTACTTTTCGCACGCGCTGATTGGCTAGTTCGGAAGTGACTAGCAAGTGGTATCTACCGCCACTTCGGTGAATATTTGTCAACTCCTCTAGCACTTCCATTGGCCGAAACTTCTGGCTTAATTGCAGTCCCATGACGTAACGATTCCTTCACCCACACTTATAGGAAAAGAATAAATTCCAGTTTGCATTTACAGGACGCTCTACCACACGATTAGCGACCTACCAGGATTATTATCCTTTACAGAACTGAACAATGTACCCACCTTTAGTACATCTAAGTCCGCTTGTAAGGCTCCCCTCAGGTTTGTAACCCTTTGGACACTTCTTTACACAACGATTAATCATCCGCAAGCTAAAAAGTGAATATCCATCTTCACATACAGCGCAGGAAAATCTGGTTCGGCATTTATTGCAATTTGATGTACACTCTGAAATTGAACGCAATGATAATTATGATTGATTTCTATCACTCATGGTCATGGGTATTTGCTTTATTCCGAGGGTTACACACACATGTGTGTGTGTGTGTGTGTGTGTGTGTGTGTGTGTGCGTGCGTGCGTGTGTGTGTGTGTGACCCTCGGAAAAAACAAACACCCATGACCATGAGTGATAGAAATCAATCATAAGTGTGTGTGTGTGTGTGTGTGTGTGTTAAGTTCATGGAGTAAAGAACTAAATAGATATAATCCTAAGAGGGAAAGATAGGGAAGCTTGACTGACACTGTCAGATACTTACTTTTGACACATTTGTATCCACCTGAGGGGTTCATCTCTTTCTTATACCCATTTGGGCAGTTTGAAAGACAGCGACTCTCCAGACTAGCGAAGCCTCGGAACAGAGAATAACCACCTTCACATACGGAGCAGGAGAATTTGTTTTGGCACGTCTTGCAATTTTGGGAGCACGCTAAAGAGAGGGAAACGCAGTAATGAGATGGATTATTTTGTGAATAACTGCAGTTTAGTACCAATAGATACATTGCGTTGTGTGCACCGTGTTTGACAATGAGATAATTAAAATGTCTTTCACTGCCGAGGGATATTAGACGCTCTCTCTTCCAACCCTTTTTTGACTCCCGAGAGCGACCAAAAGAAAATTTCCCCTTACAATAACACTTCAATATCAAGCAGTCAAGTGTGAGAGCGAAGAAAAAGAATCTCAATTAAGGGATAATTAATTGATCCAATAACAAAGTCTCCGATTAGATGTGACATCATAGGAATTGCCGGGCACGCAGTAAGAATAACCACTAGTGAGACCTTGGGAATGAGAAGGTTAAGAAAAGTAAAATAAGACCAAAATTTTTGATAAATATCTCATTTCAGCTGGAATTGGAACACGAGGTTTGAAAACGTACCTTCCACGCACTTGCTCCCACCTTCACGGTTCATCACTTTCTTGTATCCTCTAGGGCATTTTTGGACGCAGCGCGAGAAAATAAATCTTTTTAATAGTGCATATCCATTGTCACATGTGGAACAAGAAAACCTGTTGGAGCATTTCTCGCAGTTTTTGGGGCAATCTGATAAAAAAAAAAAGAAAAAATCCATTTAAGGTCCATAGCCTTTCATAACTATCAGATTACTATTTAATATATAGCAATGATTTACATTTATAATCCAGGGATCTGAGACCACGAGATAGGGCACTCATAATAGAATGAATGCAGAACATAAAAAAAAGTGAAGCGACTTTACGGCGAGTAGTCCTCAGAAAACACTGTACGACGTTTCAAGGCGCAGTAGGCTCATCGCTTTGAGGTACATTTGAATAGATGCTCATTGCTGCTTTTTACTAGTTAACTTATGGCCTTGTGTTCTTCTCTTTCAGTGGTAATTTCATGCTAACCTTGTTTCTCTACACATGTTCCTTTGACTTTCTGAAAACCAGGAGGACATTGCCTCCATCAGGCATACCCCAGAGGTACTTGGACCCTGACATGACCACGGTTACACTCGGCACATGAAAACTGATTACTATGACATTTCTTACAGTTCGCTAGGAAGCATGTTGAGGCTGAAATAATGATGATAAAAAGGAATTTATCACTTATTCCCCGCAACTTGGGTTGGTGTGAGCACAACCTCGTTTCCAAAATCACTCTTCTTGTCGCCCCGCCCTTGCTCAAATCGGCGAGGAAGAGGGAGAAGCACTGGAAACGAGTTTTTATCAAGCCCTCATACCTGAAAACTTTATCCCCATTTTTTTTCTTTCCTCGACCATCTTTTAAACTTCTCCATTATTTTTACTTCTCCATCTTCACACTATTCATTCCCTACCATTTTACTCTGTGCTTTTTTAACTATAATAAGCAACCACTGATCTTACGTTAGAAAACCTAACACATGTAAAACAATGCTATATAGTTCAAGATCAAGCTGACAGCCAAGATGCGACCTTGGACAGCTGTTTCAACTTAGATGTCTGGGTCTCATGAACACAAATAGAACAAAGAGCTCGAAGTCCAGTTTTCTACGTAATTCAATATGTAATGACCCTATTTGAAACTAAATCCATATGTTTCCAGATTGAGCAACATCACATGCAGAGCGCGTGCCAATGAACAATGTCAAAATCATGAAGATGCCGCGATAAATTATGTCTCGACCCTGGTGAAATATCGAGAAGTATCCGGAGCTGCGTAAGTGCTTTCTAAACAGGCACTTTTCTCAATCCCTCCACCGATCCTATCATCGCCCTCTTCCCTATTGACGAGATTGCAAGATTTTCAAACAATACGCGCTATCTCCAGCCTTTTACTTCTCAGTGCATTCGTCGTTCCCATCATTCCTAAAAGAGCACAACAGGCAATTTTGGCTTCACCTGAGAGTATGGGGATGCGTGAGATGCGGTTGAAATTATCGTACAGGCAATTTTGGCATCACCTGAGAGTAGGGGGATGTGTGAGATGCGGTTGAAATTATCGTACAGGCAATTTTGGCATCACCTGAGAGTAAGGAGATGTGCATGATTCGGTTAAAATTATTGAAGAGTTTCAGTTTTTTAAGGTGACATGTTCGCCGGACAAATTAAATTGGTTCGAAGGCGAGCTTATTTTGTTTGTTCGGCGTTGTCCTTCAGATTTACTTCTTTATTTGAAGTGTGGACTTTTGCCAACTTATTTTACTGGGTGATGATTGATTGCAATTGGAAATAATCGAGCAACGACACAAAGTGATTTCAGTTTTTGTTCGAGTGCTTTTTTTTTTGTTTTTGTTCCGAATCAATTTTTAGCCAAGAAGGGGGAAAGAATAGATGAGTACTTGGTGTCTGTGCGAACCTTACCTGAACAAGGTACACGTTGTTTCTGACGTATGCGGAAACGCCTCTTATTTCCTTTCTCCCACTCGTATATTTCGTGTGCAACAAAGAAAATGGAGCCATGTCCACGTAGAGTCCAGTTATTTTCTTTCAACCAACTCTTCTCAGCTGCGCCTCTCACCGATAGATTATTTCCCCGTTGTGCTCTATTTTATCGTAATTGCTTCAAAAAACTTTGTGGCTGAGAGCGAACAACGCTTTCGTCCGTCTCACGTATCAGAATATTACGAATTCGAAAATACCAGCCAGTTTCAAGCAGTTTTCAAAGAAGACTGCCACTAAACGATAGAGTTATCGGTGTTTACTTTTTCAAGTACCTCTGTTGCGCAAGCGAACTGCATTGAATGTGATCGATTACTGTTGTACTCACGTCACGAAGGAAACATACAACGAATCTGTTCATTCCTTCAGAAGATTGCATTATTTTTCTTCTAGTGCTGGTCTGAGACGAGACAATTAGGAAAGGCTTGTTACCTGATGGTTTTTTGTTAGATACAAACTGTTTCCTCTTCCATTTTCTTGATCTTGCACCACTGGCTGCACCAAGAGCAACAATCAGCATCAAGACCGACAGCAAAATCCTCATGGTGCAATCAGTGATAGGAACTCCTTGTTTCAGCCGCGTGCAGCACTATGAAAGTATACGCGACAGGCCACCTCGTATTTTATATGAAGAGAATATTCTATACGTGAAACTACGTGAGCTGAATATCCGGGATGGCATTTCATCGCATGACAAAACCCACTCATGTAATTTAAGCGCAGTAGACATCGTAAACCAGCGTAGGCCTGTTTTGACTCCACGCTCCCTACACAGCGCTGAGATTTTACGGGCTATCCAAAACAACAGAAAGAAAGGAATGTTGCTTTGTATTTTTTTTTTATGAAACTAACAGGGTCAGGAAACCAGGGTAAACTCCATGATTGAAATGAATGACCATATGGCTTTTTTTTTTTTTTTTAACGAGATTATTGCCATTCCATTCCTTACACATGTAGCGTAAAGCAGGAAGGAACGACTAGGGTTGCTTACTTTTGTATGCGAAATTTCCTTCAATTATTCCGCACTTTCATGCCAGCTTTCTTATGTTGTTGCTGTCCGAGAAAGTCTTCCAAAGATTGGAACGTGAGATGAAACAGGAAGCACAGGCTTGCGGGGTTGCAGTATTCAGAAAGAGACATTGTTTAGACCGTTTGGAATTTATAAGCTTATCGGTACATCAATCCATTAGTTTCAGCTCACGGCCGGCCTTTAATCCGCTAGTTCTGATGTGGTTGTTGGGAAACTGGGGCGAAAGGATATCATAGCTAACTTGGAGGGGAGAAATATTACTTATTATTAATACATTGATATTATCATTAATTAATATTGTTGTTAATGTTGCTGTTGTTGTCTACAACCAGCTGATCACTGAAAACTAAATAAATTTCCTCGGTGTATTTTCGCGTATAAACGTCATAACCATGATCTTTCCATTTTTAAACACTTTATATTCTATTGCGCTCATTCATAATGAAAGATATGCACTCCATATGTATGTAAGTTATGATTTCATCGTACCCGCCAACTACCGTACACTGCACAGCTTTTTAGATCAATTTCTCAGGGGCAAAGGAGGTAGGGAGGAGGGACGCTGAAATTTAGTACATTCAAGAGAAAATAATGGACCATTAGTTGAACTCGATTATAGAATAAAATTTCGCATGTTTTTTAATTTCGCAAATTTTTTCAACATTGTGAAAATTATTAGCAAGAGTAAGTTAAATGAAGGCTAATGACGTAATTGTGAGGTGTTTTGAGGCTTTTGATTGAAGATTAACTAGATTAATCTAAAGACTCTTTTTTTTTATTTCATGGAACCAGAAAAAGACTGAACTTGTACCAAAATTTTCTTTGGATTTATCCGGCAGAAAGAGGGAAGGCGAACGGAGATGCAGCACTATATTGAAGATCTCAATGGGGTGTTGATTATACGGCTAACAGTAAAAATTTTGACTGTTTTACGGCTAACAGTACAAGATGCTACACACGAAAAAGTTAACGATTAGATTTCCATTGTTTTAAAGATAAATTTACTTTCTCATTTATACCATCAGAGTCAAGCAACATGGTTAGTTCAAGAAGGAGCTCCTGTTGGGTTGATATCAAATAATAATTTTCTGTTTTCCCACTTGGCCACAAGACCAGGCATCTAAGAAAATTTTCACGGTCACCTCTTTTACGTCTAACTGTTAGATTTTGTCAAATTTTACGCCTAACGGCTAACTTTTTGCCGTTTTATGGCTAATCATTTGACTCCAAGACCCTTCATATGTGATTTTAAATGTTCAACTAACAATCGTGAGCAAGATTTAAAGTATATTCTGGAATCCAGTTTTCATTTTGTGCATACAGTTATCAAGTCAATATATATGCGTTAATGGCCGAGCGCGAGGTCAAGATGGCTGGATATTGGCCGAGTTGCTTTTTTGCATTTTTATAGGCCGAGACGAAGTCGAGGTCCATAAAAATGCGAAAAGAGATCGAGGCTAACATCCAGCCATCTTGACGGGAACAAGCTTGGTCAATAAAGTATTTATTATATTGCAAAAACATTTCGCTTTATCAAGAATTAAGAATGACGTGTTTACTTCGAGAGCCAGGAAAGAAAGCCAACTGTGTTTGAAGCACACCAAACTCACGAGAGTCGTTTCTGTTTTCTTTCTTTTTTTTTTTTTTACTATCTTCTGCCACTTTTTGTGTTTCCATCGCCGAAATTGCCCAAGAATTACGAACGCAGCTTTAATTCAATTTTTTTCATGCGCGGGATCAACACGGGCAATCCCGAGCGGGCAAGATGGGCCAATCTTGCCCGCTCGGGTAGCCAATCAGAACACAGGATTCGCTTCATTTTGCCCACGGGCGCTGCGAGCGATGTAATAGTTCGTCCTATTAACATATTTATCTTTACAGTCAAACTAAGTGAAGCGTACCCCCCAAGATTACATTAATGAATTGATCATTTGGATATTGAACCCGCCAGTCGTTTCAAGAATGCAATAATGAATTGATTATTTGATTACTGAACCCGCTAGCCGTTTCACGAATGCAATAATGAATTGATTATTTGAATATTGAACGCGATAGCCGTATCCGTTTTGAAAAGGCGCGGATCATTGTTCAAATTAGAAGTCCATTTCTGAAGTCCAATAAGATTGTGCTATTTGACGAGGAATCCTGGAAATGAACAAACTGTAAAAACACTGCGAAAACAGTCGATCGCAAATATTAACGAAATAAAAAAAGTCTTGCGATGGCTTCGCCCGTAAACTATTTATTTCGAAATAATTTGGATATATCAATAAAGTTGAAATGGTAAATTGGCCACCGTAACGATTACAAATGCTGACCTTTCGAGCGTTAGCCCTTTTTTTCGACCATGAATACACACAAAAATTTCTACAAGTTCGTCAAGATGTAAATATGCGAAAAAAGTTTTCGATAACATTCCATTTACGACATTTACAAGAAGTTCTACACGACACTCGAACTCACCTTTCCCCCCATGTCTGACGCCATGTTGAAATAGTTCTGATCCATCATTACGTGTTCGCATAATCCAATCAGAAATGGACTTCTGATTTGAACAATGATCCGCGCCTTTTCAAAACGAATACGGTTATCGGGTTCAATATTCAAATAATCAATCCGTTATTGCATTCTTGAAACGGTTAGCGGGTTCCGTGTTCAAATATTCAATTCGTTATTGCGCTCCTCAGTGAAACGATTAGCGGGTTCAATATTCAAATAATCAAATCATTGATGTAATCCTGAGGGGTACGCTTCACTTAGTTTGACTGTAAAAGCAAAAATTTATCCAAAGGCAAAAACATATGCCATTGTTCTTTGACAGTTAGTTTGCCTCGGGTGTATTTAAATTAAGGCGTCGAAAGATGCGACAAGCAATGTCAATGCTCTTTATTTTTCAAAGACGAAATTAAATCAACCTGCAGGTGCTTCAAGGATTCTGATCCCAAGTCAGTTGGTTAACATAGGCATGAAACAATCTTCTATCATCATCATAATGGAAACCTGGTTTTGGATTCTTGGCTGGCCTCTTTCAATCCTGGCCATTACAGGAAATGGATTTATTATCTTCCGTGTTTGTAGCAGACGGCGGCTTCGAACCAAAACCAATGCGTTTGTCGTTTCCCTTGCTGTGGCGGATTTCTGTGTAGGGTTGATTGCTGTTCCCTCACTTTTTGTCTGCGAGAAGACAACGGGATGCTGCCCCGAAGCGTTTAGAGCAAACGGAGTGCATTATTTGAGGTGGCTTTTTGCGTATGCGTCTGCAGCAAACTTAATATGTAGTTTAGTCCTGGATCGCTACATTGCTGTTGTGAAGCCTCTCAAATACTTATTGTTCAGGACGCGCAAACGTGTCTCTCAGATGATTTGTATTTCTTGGACACTTTCAATTCTTGTTGTGTTTCCTTATGTTCTAAGATGGCTCGCTTTTAAAGACAACGATTCATTTTCTTTGAAATCTTTTGGGATAATGATCATGATCTCCTTCGAGTTCCTGGCGTCCTGTGGTCTCATCTTTTGATTTTGTTCAATGTTTCATGTTGTTTATAAGCAAGAACGAGCCGCCCACACCTTAGCCAAGCAACTCCGCTATAATCATCGATATCTGTTCCGAAGCGGGGAAAAGTCGGCTGTGAAAGTGATGGGAATTTTTATGGGCCTCTTCATTCTAACCTACACAATTGCTATGCGATGTACTCTTGTACAAATTCCGGATAACAAAAAACCATGTAATGATAAAGAATTTAAAATATCTTTTCTCATTTTAAACTCTGCCTTGAACCCTGTTGCTTACGCTTTCTTCAAGAGGGACATGAAAGAGGAAATAAAACGATGCATTCGCTGTGTCGGGCGAAGATCGCAGTGAAGTGTTTCAACTCTTGCTGTATTGGAATAAAGTTGTATCGCTGAGTTAGATTGCAAATTAAAACGGAGTTCTTGAGTTGATGTCGATTGAGATCAGTTTATTTGGAAAAATTGTCCTCTTGTGTTGTGTTAAAATATCCAACTTTATTAAGCTGCCTTTAATTTTTTTTTTTTTAGGAAACAAGCCTAAGCGAGCACTTAGCAGTTAGATTAATCACTAACTCGTTATCTCTCCGGCCGTTCTAAGTGAAGCTGGTAAAATTCAACTGAGAGGAATAAAGAGTTTTCCTTAAAAATGTGCACATGTTTTCAAAAGTGAAAGGAGGACTTCGTTTAAACAGTATAAATAAAACCTTTTCGGGAAGATATTCGCTTCGTAGAGTATGTCTATCTATGATGCAAATGAAGCAAATAAGTACAGTAAGTACCATTCCGAGTTAAATTGCAAATGAGTTGTATTTTTTTTGTCCGTTCTAATCAGCTGGTTTGTTTAAAGGAACAATTTCTGGCAAACAAGCAACTTGAATGTGCTGTGTTAAACCCTCAGAACCTTAAGACTGGGCTGGCGTCAAATTCTCTTTACAGTATCACAGCTGCATCAAACACTAAGCTGTTGAGAATGAAGGAAATGAACGTTTACCAAGGAAGCTCTTGATTGATAAACAAAATCTCTTTGTCAGTGCTACAGCAAAATGTGTAGAGAAGAGCATGGAGAATATTTATAGCAAAATAAGGGTTTAAAGCGTTAATTCTCAAGACCGAGTGAGGAAAAAAGGGGTGAACGTTGAACTCCTAAA